AGAAAACGTAATCAAAGCCCTCCTGACAAAGAGCCATCCAGCCATAGATATAGATAGATATATATGATTCACCCACACACAGAGAGATATAGTATCATAGATTTGAAAGGGACCCTTAAAGAAGGACAATTATATGTTGCCTGTTCCAAAGTAGGCAAACCAGACACTCTCCACATCAACACTGACAAAGACACAGCAAGAAATACTGTTTCCCTACAAGCATAAAGAAATTACATATATTAGAAACCATCACTTTCTCATTACTTTATTTTCCAGATCACCAGATTGGGCCACAGCAATGCTGTATGTAAGTAAATAAATAAACATTTAACCTCCAGTGTATGCAATCCCAAAGCCTGGATACTTCAATGCATTTACCCAGAAATCTTGCACTGAATTATGACAAAACTTGTATTTGATCCAAAATTCATCAATGTTCCAGTTTGCTTTTCAGAGTTGAGTTAATGGCAACATAAAAAGCTTGAGGTTAGGGGAAGAGATAACATGGATATTGTTCCTATACGGCTCACGAAGGAACAAAACCCCTGCAGCAAACTTGTGAATAAAAGAAAATCACATCAAGGAATGGTCGACTTTTCCGCTTGGCCCCAACTGGCGGCTATTTTAGGCGGCTATTAAAGTCCAAAACATAAACCCAAATCTGTGGTCTATCAACTGCACTAAAAGAGGAGGAGGTCACCATCCATCTTTTATTCATCAGCCTGTTTGGTTTCTAACCAGATCTTGGAAGAAACACCTTTCCTTCATCTCCAGATTGCCTGGAAACCAAATATAAATGGTGGAGGATGGAGGAAAACATCCGTCTCTCTCGTTTGCATGAAATTACGGCTTCCCTCTAGCGATCAGGCAAGTTTCTCCATATCAAGCTGTGAAACAGGTCTTCCCCCGAAAGTTAAGCACCATTTCAGAAACTAACATATGCACAGGAAGAGGAATCAAAATGTATTCAAGAAAGTTACAATGGAAAAACACATCTTAATTTTAATCCAGAAGTGTTTTTTTAATAATTGCCAATTTTCAGCAGACCTCGATTCAATTTAAAGCCAAGCCCTACGTTCTCTGACCTACAAGAAGCACTGCCTGAACATCAAGCAAAAACTGGGTGCTAGAAACAATATCATACGAAAGCTGACTGGCACAACCTGGGGATCACAACCAGACACAGTGAAGACATCTGCCCTTGCGCTATGCTACTCTGCTGCTGAGTACGCATGCCCAGTGTGGAACACATCTCACCACACTAAAACAGTGGATGTGGCTCTTAATGAGACATGCCGCATTATCACGGGGTGTCTGCGCCCTACACCACTGGAGAAATTACACAGTTTAGCCGGTATTGCACCACCTTACATCCACTGGGAAGTAGCAGCCAATAGTGAAAGGACCAAGGCAGTGACATCTCCAGCTCATCCCTGTTTGGGTATCAGCCAGCACGTCAACGACTTAAATCAAGAAATAGTTTTCTAAGATCTACAGAGACACTCGCTGGAACACCTCAGCAAGCGAGATTTCAAAAGTGGCAGGCTCAAACCCAGCACCTCAATCGTGGGTGATACCAGATGAGAGACTCCCCCCTGGGCACACAGAAGACTGGGCGACTTGGAAGGCGCTGAACAGACTGCGCTCTGGCACCACGAGATGCAGAGCCAACCTTAAGAAATGGGGCTACAAAGTGGAATCCACGACATGAGTGTGGAGAAGAGCAAACCACAGACCACCTGCTGCAATGCAACCTGAGCCCTGCTACATGCACAATGGAGGACCTTCTTGCGGCAACACCAGAGGCACTCCAAGTGGCCAGATACTGGTCAAAGGACATTTAATCAACTACCAAGTTTGCAAAATTTGTGGGTTTTTTAAATCTGTTTGTTTTGTTCTGTTAGAAATGTAATACAATGGTTTGGTTGCCCCTGACACGATAAATAAATAAATGCCTAGCATACACTGTTCTTAAAAGGATAGTGTTTCACTACTCCTCATAATCTTGAACAGCAGGGGAATATTGCATTATGTATGGGGTGAGACACAGCTTGAGCACAGTTGCCTTCCTGCAGAAGTGGTACCTATTGATCTATTCACATCTGCATGTTTCGAACTGCTAGGTTGGCATTTCTTTCACTATATAAAGCTGGAATTTTCCAAATACTGGAGTAGTAACTTAGATGAGCAGAGAAAATAAGATCACAAAACTTCTTTGCACTGCTATACCTTCAATGTGTTCCCTTATGAAGGGATCGTCCATGATGTTACTGTGGTTGGTTTTCAGAATCTTCTCAAATTCAGTGATGTCATTATTCTGATAGGCACTTTAAAAGACACACAAAGAGAACAAAATTATAACTTTTTCATATGTGAAGTAAACTACGTATCAGGTTTGGAGGCATGATCTAAACAGAAGTGCAGCTAAATTATTTTTCCAATTTTTATTAGAATTATTTTTCCAATTTTTTGGATTAGCGAAAAATTTCAAAGATGAAAGAGTTGTCAGAATCCAGTTTTTTTGATTTGTCAATGACCAAAAAGAGCGAAATGAAAATGTGCCATTATGTTGCTCTTTCATGGAAAGGTAAGTTTTCTACAGATTTCTGGGCTGAAATGGCCACTAAATATGTGTAAATGTTACATACAGAATAAAACAAGGTAAGGTAAAATTTGAGGAGTTTTTTATTGTGTCAGAAGCGACTTGGTAATATACTGCAAGTTGCATCTGGTTTGAGAGAATTGGCTGTCTGCAAGGATGTTGCCCAGGGGACGCCCGGATGTGTTACCATCCTGTGGGAGGCTTCTCTCATGTCCCTGCATGGGAAGCTGGAGCTGACAGAGGGAGCTCACCCCATCTTGCAGATTCAAACCACTGACCTTCAGGTCAGGTCAGCAGTTCAGCTGGCACAAGGGTTTAACCCATTGCACCACCACGTCTCCTATATTAAACATGGGGCTGTGTCGCAGTGGGTTAAACCCCTGTGCTGGCAGGACTGAAGACCCGACAGGGCAGGTTCGAATCGGGAGAGCGCGGATGAGCTCCCTCTATCAGCTCTAGCTCCTCATACAGGGACATGAGAGAAGCCTCCCACAAGGATGATAGAACACCAAAAACATCCGGGCGTCCCCTGGGCAACATCCTTGCAGACGGCCAATTCTCTCACACCAGAAGCGACTTGCAGTTTCTCAAGTCGCTCCTGACATGACAAAAAAAGTTAAACACAAGACTAAACAGCGGTGAAGTTAACAGATTCTGGCCAATTGAAAAATACATAAATAACAAAATGTAAGCATCTCTTGTCATCTCTCCAAACCATGATGTGTTTTTCTTTAGAAATCACTACCACAGTGTTCCCTCAATTATTGCGGGTGTTACATTCCAGGACTACCCGCGAAAAGTGAAAATCGACGGAGTAGGTACACTATATATATGTATATCGAGTTCTGAGGGTGAGGTAGAAGCGAGGAAAGATTTAAAGGCACCGTGCACCTTTTTTTGCTAGGTATCTCTGCTTTGCTTTGCAAGCTCTCTTGATTGGCTGCCTCTCTCCCGAGGGGGAGGGTAAAGCCCCCTTCCACACTCCATTGTTGCCAGGAATTGGGATTAGAACGCAGCTCTGGGCAACGGCAACCATTCATAAACCGGGAGGCAATAACACACAAAACAGCGAGTCCGCGAAAAGTGAACCACGATATAGAGAGGCAACACTGTACTTCAATTTATTTTGGCTTCTGTTTGCTTATTTAAAAAAAGGAGGGGAAGGGAACCACTTACCTTACTAAGTTTGTCATTGCTAGAATCTCTGGATCATTTTTGTATGGTTTTGCCTAAACCAGAAAGAAACAGGAATATTTAGTTACCAATTTTAATGCTAACATCAGCATTAAATGCGGGAAGATACTGACAATGGTACCTCCTGGGAGTCAAACGGATTTATTCCAGACTTCATCAGCATGTTTGCTAAGACCAAATATTTTAAGCATGTCGTTCTCCTTGGACTTCCTGATTCATCATAATTCTTAAACGCTTCGAAGAAATCAGTGTGAGCCTTTTCAAACTCGCCTTCTCTTAGGTGCATTTTACCACCGCATTCTGGAAGAAAAACAGGAAGATGTAAGTGCTACTAAATAGCTATCACCACACAGAATAAATGTCCCTTTCAGTACTGTGTGCCATTTCTGAATGGAGAGCAGCAGGAGGGCTTCAAAAGGGACCTTTTATTTGGTAACAGTTAGAAAGGGCAAACAGGAACAAAGGGAGCTCCCTTTCTACAGTTTAAATCCTCCACTTTATCTGAAGTGCTCTCTGTGAAAAAGAAGAATACTGCCACCCTGGGGCTAACATTCAATTCTTACACCGAAAAAAACATTATAAATGCATCTGTTCAGTTGGCTTTCTTTCAACATGGTAAACATGGAATCCGCAGTAATATTATGCCTATACTATATTTGTGTCCTTTCCTCAGCAGGCAACAAAACGCCTCACAACACAAGGAGTGACCATCACTCAAAAAATTATGATGTTGTCATTTGGGAGTTGTAGTTGCTGGGATGTATAGTTCACCTACAATCAAAGAGATTCTGAACTCCATCAACGATGGAATTGAACCAAACTTGGCACACAGAACTCCCATGACCAACAGACAACACTAGACAACACTATAAGGGTTTGGTGGGCATTGACCTTGGGAGTTGTAGTTCACCTACATCCAGAGAGCACTGGGGACTCAAACAATGATAGATCTGGACCAAACTTGGCACAAACTCAATATGCCCAAATATGAACACAGATGGAGTTTGGGGAAAATAGACCTTGACATTTGGGAGTTGTAGTTACTGGGATTTACAGTTCACCTACAATCAAAGAGCATTCTGAACCCCACGTACGACAGAATCAGGGCAAACTTCCCACACAGAACCCCCATGACCAACAGAAAATACTTAAGGCCATCCAATCCAACTCCCTTCATCAGGGCAAGAAAACATAATCAAAGTCCTCCTGACAAAGAGCCATCCAGCCATAGAGATAGATAGATAGATATGATTCACAAACACAAACAGATAAAATACCATAGATTTGAAAGGGACCCTTAAAGAAGGACAATGATATGTTGCATTTTCCAAGGTGGGCAAACCAGGCAATCTCCACATCAACACTGACAAAGAAACAGCAAGAAATACTGTTTACTCACAAGTAAAAAGAAATTACATATATTAGAAACCAACACTTTCTCATTACTTTATTTTCCAGATCAACAGACTGGGCCACAGCAACACATGGCAGGGGACAGCTAGTAAAATAATAAAATGTAATTATGTGTCCCAACAGAAACAAATGTGTTTTTAAAACCAAGTTATTTCTTTAAACAACCCCACAAATCCAAGTTAATGTGCTGACAGATAATAGCCAATAGTCATCACATTTATATCCCCCACAAACACCATACTGTCCCCCACCCAAGGCTTTCATAGGGGACAATGTCATCCTAGATTTTCCGATTTTCCTCCACCATAGACATCCCAGTATTTCTTCCTCTCTCAATTGATGTGAAATTTTCATTGCCACTTTCCACTTTTTTTCTATGGCACACAGCAAACAGAGGAATTGATCAGCAACTAAACATACTACAGAGGTTTAGGGAGAAATCACCATGATTTATAGGCATTAAGTCCAGTCATGTCTGACTCTGGGGGTTGGTGCTCATCTCCATTTCTAAGCTGAAGAGCCGGCGTTGTCCATAGACACCTCCACAGTCATGTGGCCTGCATGACTGCATGGAGCGCCCTTACCTTCCCACCGGAGTGGTACCTATTGATCTACTCACATTTGCATGTTTTCGAACTGCTAGGTTGGCAGAAGCTGGGGCTGACAGCAGAAGCTCACGCCACTCCCCGGATTCAAACATGTGACCTTCCGGTCAACAAGCTCAGCAGCTCAGTGGTTTAACCGACTGCGCCACCTATATGTGCCACCTATATGTGTATAGTTACATCTATACACATAATAAACGTGAAAATATGTGTCTGTGTGGCTGGGATGTCCACTTACACAGACAGGATCCCATTTCCACAAATAGCTATAGCTCCCAATATGCAGGAGACGTCAATGGCCCTCCCTCCAATGACACTGCAGGTTATAGAGAGCATCATGAACATGTAGCCCAAGCTCTGCCAATGTCCTCCTCAAATATCATACTGCCCACCACCCAAGTGAAGGCTTTCATAGGGGACAATTTCATTCTAGATGTTTTTCCTCCACCACAGACTTCCCGCTTATTTCATGACCCCGCTTATTTCATTTTTAACCCTTTCCTATTCTTTTCTATGGCACACAGCAAACCGAGGAATTGATCAGCAACTGAACATATTACAGAGGTTTAGGGAGAATTCACCATAATTTAGAGAGGCATTGCAGGTACTTGGATTTATAGTTCACCTGCAATCTATGAGCACTCTGAACTCCACCAAAGATGGAATTGGACCACACTTGGCACACATAGCCCCCATGACCAGAAAAAATACTGGAGGTCTTTGGGGAAAATCCACCTTGATTTGGGAGAGTTGTAGTTCACCTACATCCAGAGAGCACTGTCAACCCAAACACTGATGGATCTGGACTAAACTTGGAACGCACACCTGATATGCCGAAATGTGATTACTGGAGGAGTTTGGGGGGAACTGACCTTCATTTTTGGGAGTTGTATTTTACCCACAACCAGGGAAACTGTGATCTCCACCAATGATAGACCTGGACCAAACTTGGCACACAGAACTCCCATGACTAACCCAACTTACTGGAGGGGTTTGAGGGGACTGACTCACCATAGCGGGAGCTGTGGTTTACTCTACAGCCAGAGAGCACATTGAAACCCAGCGATGATGCATCTAGAGCAAACTTGCCTAACATAACAAACTTTAAGTACTGATGGGTGTTAATTTCTTGATAATAAGCCAGCATTTGCAAGGCTTACTAAAAAGGCCGATTCTCTTTTATATGAAGTATAGCTGAAGCATCTGCTGCAGAGTCTACTGCAAACACTACGTAACAGATTTGTCTGAATGCCTAATAGGTGACAATCAGAAACCTTTTACTGCCCAAATTTTTCAAGGCGTTTAACACGAACCCCACTTAAGTCAGGACTCACAGTTTAAGAAGCAGTATATCAGAGTATTAAAGAAATCTTGCATTCTATTCCCCACTAGAAATCCAAATTATCTCAGTTGTAATTTGCCACAATATTACATGACATGCCTCCATATTCAAAACAATTCAGGGGGACAATCCCTTAAAATTTTTGAACTGGCTCTTTAACTAATAAGTTAATAAGGCTCAGGTTACATTACTTTGACTGCCTGATCCAGACACAGAAACAACACTTGCCTCTGATGACCCCCATGATCAGTGGATGAGGAATGGCAGACTTGATGTGCAACGACTGCTCGTATAGTGCTTTAAGTTTTTTGTTATTTTTCTGTGCTGTATACATTTGAATTTCCAAAGCATAGATTTCCAATAACTGGGTACCCTTTTTGAGGTCATCTTCTCCATCATCAGTCTAAAAAGAGAAAGAATTGTGTACAACATGAAAAGCTAAGCATGTCCTCCCACTCATAATAATGTACATTATAACTTATTCAGCTCTTGAACAATTAATCATATTTCACAGCAAGACAAGAAAATAATAGACAGTCCTTATTTTCTAGGATCAATATTTTCTAGTGTCTACGGTGCTGGAATCAAATGAAAATGTGTATACATATAATGATAACAATAATTTATTTATATTTTGCTTTATCTCATTGAAGGGACTCAGAGCAGATTACAATACACATATGAGGAAAACATTCAATTCCTTTTTACACAACACAGTAAATAAAGACATACAAAAGAGACAAAGGTAAAGGGCTTCCCCATTTTTTTATCTCTGGTGTCTGGAGGCGATGCTCAACTCCAGCCATGGGGAGGTGCTGCTGTTCTATTTTTCCATGCTGAGTAGCCTGTTGTCCATGGACATCTCTGCGTTGACGGCATGCCTACATATCTGCATGGGGCGCCCTTTTACTTTCCCGCCGAGGCGACACCTATTGATCTACTTGCATTGCATGCTTTCGAACCGCTAGGTGGGCAGGAGCTAGGGCTGATAGTCAACAGCTCACCCTGACTCATGGCTTTGAACTGCCAACCTTCCAGTCAGCAGTTTGGGAGATCACTACTGTTTACATATTTTGCAAACACAGGGAATCACAACATTGAGCATGAAATTACAGGGCTGGGGGTTTAGCACAGCTGGTAAATCACCAGAAATGATAAGATCTACCATCCGAAAAGTGGCAAGTTCGAAGCCCTGGGTCAGTGTGAGCTGCCAACTGTCAAGCCCAGCTTACTGTTGACCTAAGCAGTTCAAAAACAACTTGAGCTGTTATTAGAGAAATTAGGTACTGCTAAAACAAGTGGGGGGAGATTATTTTAGGACACCATAAAGAAAGATCAGAAAATGCTAGGCGATCAAAAGGAATAAGTCCTGATGGCTCTTCATCATAGATGATGGAGCGACAGCACCTCCCTGTGGCTGGATTGAAGTACCTTTCCAGGAGCCAAAAAAGCTGGATGTTGACATGGACACAACATACCTCCTTTCTGTTATGTCTGTCTCTGTATTGTCTATCCAAAACAGCATTGAATGTTTGCCGTGTATGTGTACTGTGATCTGCCCCGAGTCCCCTTGTGGAGATAGGATGGAATATAAATAAAGTGTTGTTGTTGTTATTAATATTATATCAATTCAGATTACGTATTTTGGAAATGGTTTAGCAAAGAAATTGCATAGTACCTGACATGACTGGTGGAGCTGGCGCAATATTTTCTGTAGTTTCCCATATTCTTCTCGTTCTAAATATAATTTGCCAAGCTATCAAGAAAAAAGGATGGTTATTAAATGTGTTAGGAGTTGTAGAAGTACACAGAGGGTTTCTTTTAACCGTAAAACAACATCCACGTTTCCCAATTTACCTTTGTGTTTGTCTTAAACCACAATCTATCATTCTTAGCATCTTTTAGAGCGTCAAGTGTAGTTTCATAAAATTCCTGAAGCAAATCCATCTGGCATAAAAAATCAGAATTCTATAATTGTAAACAGCAAATTTGTGCCTGTTAATAAAGTCAATGTGAACATACTCAAAGCTTAACGTTGAACTATATAGCACTTTAGAAGAACAAATTGACAGCATAATACATTGCAACAATCACGTTAATACATTTTGTCATCTGAAAAACTTAACCAACAAAACATTCAATTTGTTTTGGATTTCCATCCTCTTTTCCAGGCATGTTATTGCTAGTTATGTTCAATTTCCTATTGGGCATAAGTCTATATTGTGGCCGGAGCTCTCAGACCTATCGGTTCCACTATCTCCTTAAAAGAATTAAGCAGTTCTTAATCCTTCTCAATTTTACTAAACCGATTCCGGTGCTCATTCATTAGGTACCAAGAACAACAGACAGGTCATAATAATGAAAGGAGAAAGGGATACTGCTTTTCTATCCAGTCTGAGATAGGAAGCCAAGTCTAACTGCAAAAATAGAACTATTATTTTTTGTTAAGGTGGCAGATTTCTATAAGATTTCTCGTGTTATTTATGACACAGAACAATGGCTTTCCCAAATGACTTATCATTTCCTGACCCCAGAAAACTCTGCCCGTTAATTAAAAAAAATCACATAGGCATCAACATACTTAAATCAATTCAGCTTTACAAAGCAACCCCACATGCAAAAAATACAAATACAAATACAAATACAAATACATATACATATATATATATATATGAAAAATGACAACAATTTCAAAATGCAAGGGTGACAGAGAAGGGAAGTTACAGAAACAATCAGTAGTATTTTAAGATAAAATATACAGAATCCCTGGTTGCAGATACTGTTTTAAATACAGCTCCATGATACAAAGGTTCCTCAAACCTTATATAATGGTCTCATAACAAAAGTGACAGTGTAAGGATTTTAACATTAGTTACTAAGATTGCCAAATAATCACCTCCTTATTACAGGAAGCCTGGATTATTAGTAAGCATCAATATAAAACGCAAAATTACATCATTTTTGAAAGCTGACTTTAAAATAGTGATACTTCTTTTGAACTACAATTCTCACAAGTACAGTTTCAACACACATGGATCAGCTATAACAAGCAAAATATTCTACTTGGTTTATAGTTCTGTGCTCTCCAAATCTACTTTGGTGCTATTATTATTATTGTTATTATTATTATTAATATTATTTTGTGTCAAAAGCATTGCATACATAAGCATAAAACTGATAAAAATAGAAGAAACACAAGTATCGAAATAATTTTTGACCAAAACCAGGCGACAATGACCACATTGTCTGTAGCTTTAAATCATTCTTCCTCTATATATGGGAGACACAGAAAGAGCCTCCTCGAAGACTAGGTAAATTGGGCATCCCCTGGGCAACATTTCTTGTAAACGGCTAATCTTTCCAAACCCAAAAGCATTGCTTTCAAACATTGGCAAAATTGGAAGCTAGTTATTTCTCTAAACAGAATACAAATGAAAAAAAAAGTCCCTTAATTCAATGGCAAGAAGACAACATTGCAGTTATTATCAACATATCTTTTAACATTGCAAAATTTACAATTTGGACGGAGAGATAATCTAACCTGCTTGGAAGTGGATATATAATCAAGAATAGAATTGATGGATTTTTCAGAATAATTCCTTGTAACTGCACTCCGTATGTAGGTCAATAGTTGTTTATATCTGTTCATCATTTCAGGGAAGTTAGTCTGCAATGGAGAAAAAAGGGATTTAACAAATGAAACATTCTAAGAAGGAAATTAAGTCTACCTGGTGATATTAAAATACAAAAGCTAGATGATTGTGTCATGCCGAACCATAATTGCAAGAAAATATCACAGTGGATACTACAGACATATTCCATATGAATCGGATTTCCAGCTATGAATGTCTTTTTCTTCCATTGTAACATAAAAAGCTATGGCAGCACATATAAAAGCAATTTTATTTTCTATAGTGGGTGCAAACTCCTTGCTTTTTAAAAAGCTACTGGGATTCTTTATAAGAAATATAGTAAAGGTAAAAGTTTCCCCCTGAAATTATCTAGTCGTGCCCATCTCTAGGGGGTGGTGCTCATCTCCATTTCTAAGCCATAGAGACCTCCTAGGTCATGTGGCCAGCATGACTGCATGATGCACCGTAATTTCCTGCTGAAGCAGTACCTATTGATCTACTTACATTTGCATGTTTTCGAACTGCTAGGTTGGTAGAAACTGGGGCTAACAGTGGGAGCTCATCCCTCTCCTTGGATTTGAACTGCCAACCTTTCTGTCAGCATGTTCAGCAGCTCAATGGTTTAACCTGCTGCACTGCCAGGGAATTCCTATAGTTATACAGAAACCCTTTGGAAATGATACTAATGCTGATTCAGAATGTATTTAGCATGTTGTTTCATATATTTGAACAAATAAATCGAGAAGGAAGATCATTTTTTTTCTAATACCATTCATATAGTGTCATTTCTTACAAGACAGAATAGTAAGGAAAAGTAATATATATCTTACCAATTTGAAGTTTATTTTTATCATCTGTTTTAATGCTTTGAATCCCCATTCTCCTTTTTCACCTTCAAGTTCCAAAACCTAAGCATTAGAGAGACCAAGATAATTGCTTTTCTCAGTGTCTGCATACTTTTATTTAAAAAACTATGCTGAAGCCTATTTAATGCTTCTACATTATTCATATTATTAGGCTGTGTAAAATTCCACTCAATACAATGCTTCAAATGCTACTGTGACTCTAATGTCACCACTTGAAAAAGTCTGAAGCTGTTATTGGGCATTTAAAATATTTAAAGTGATATTTTAAAAATTAAAGACACATTAAGGAAAGTGAATTTCTTCCCTTGCACAAACTCTGTGACTAGTTATTCTTTAATTGGCTACAACATCAAATGCTGTGCAAGTAATTGAGGAATTATTGTTTATAGTATCTAGTACAAACGAAATTGAGCCAAATATCACTGAAGCATTTGTTTTGGGAGAAAATGAAGCTATCAAGAAAAATCTTAAAGAAAAGCAAGTATTCACTAAATTCCTATATCACTAAGCATATAATTATTAATCAATTATTAGGAACACACCTGCCTGGTAAATATATAATGCTTTCCAATCTCATAACAGGCAAGAGGAATGGATAAATGTGCAGTTTAATCTCACATCCTCCACCTTTTTAAAAACTTTTCCATTTTGCTAGCACTGGCATAACATTTAGCTCAAAACATAAACGAGAAATGTCAACCATAGTTTTGCATTAACAATATCAGCATTTGTTATTTTTTTTTCATGTGAGAATAAGCTCAAAGTGGCTAACAGGAAGGTCTACAGAATAATATAACAGAAGACAGCAAACTGGAAATGTTCCTATTAATGCTAAGAAATATATAAGATGAAACAATCCACCAAGAATTCATACTTAAACATAATATTAAAAATAATATAGAAACAGCAGCCAAACAGAAAGAGAAAAGAATATATCTTCTGAAGCATAAATGGTGCTCTCAGTGATGACCTCTAAATGATGAAGGTTTCTCAGCAACTAGAACAGCCGATGCAGCTGAAGTCTGGGCCCTGGTTGTTGAGACCGGATGGAAATGGTCTGGACAGAGGAACTGATTTTGCAGGACCAGCAACTAGATTGTCCCTAGGCGACCAGAGAGCAACAATTCTGGCATCAACATGACTTTAACTATAACTTCCACAATGAGTGAAATTTGGAAGAAAAAAAAAGACCAAGTTGCATCTGCACCAGAGACCAAACATCTAAACAAGCAAAACATACAGTTCAACTATATGAATATAAAGAAAATGAAGAAACAAGCAACCTTCTGAAAACTGCTGAGTGCTGCCTTAGGGTCATCTTCCTTGAGGGCTTTAGAATTATAGTATTGATTCTCCAAATCTACATTCGGCTCAGAATTACTGTCTTCAGAATATTCCTAAATTTTGTAAATAGCAAAAAAAAAAAAAAAAAAAAAGTCAGTTTCAACATGCTAAGCAATATCAGATAACAAGGTAAAACAGAAGACAAGACATTGCTGTGGTTAAATCTTGCCATGGTTTGAGATAAACAACAGGTTTTCACTCATATTTATTCAACAGTCCATACATATATATGTATGGATATAAAATAACATTGAGATGCCCAAATTTCTATTCGTATATTTACGGAGCCAATAATAAAATAAGAAAACTATTTTTTTCAATAACAACCATGTGATTTTCACTGTTGGCGTACAGTAAGTGTCCATGCTTTTCCCAGCTTTTTCACTACTTTTATTAGACTAACTAAGATAAATAAGAATAGACCACAGAAGTGAGTTGCAATGAGCATAATGATACTATATATTTTGCAGTCACACCCAACAATTCTGATTTGGATTTTGAAGAAATCCAGCGTATTTCCTATTTCTAAACCTCTTACTTCTCAAACAATTCACAAAATATCACAACTTCTATTTCTTTTCCCACACTGTCTTTTTCTTGCAAAACGTCTTTTGATTATGCTGTTCAGTAAGACTATCAATATATTCTGTTATGATGGAAAATGTTCCCCTCTAGATCTACACCACCCCTAAAAATGGCATCTTCCTAGTTATTAAGTGAAGCCATCAACAGGTAAAGGACTATTAAGCAAAAAAGACTGGTTCCTTCCAAAACAAGTTCACAAATCTAAGAGGCAACAGAGTTTGGAATCAATGGCAATAAATACATCAAACTAAAATTAATGTATTGTCGAAGGCTTTCATGGCTGGAATCACTAGGTTCTTGTGGGTTTTTTCGGGCTATAGAGCCATGTTCTAGAGGCATTTCTCCTGACGTTTCGCCTGCATCTATGGCAAGCATCCTCTACCTCTGAGGATGCTTGCTATAGATGCAGGCGAAACGTCAGGAGAAATGCCTCTAGAACATGGCTCTATAGCCCGAAAAAACCCACAAGAAACTAAAATTACATTCCTATATACACTTAGCTAGAAGCACATCCTACTAACCTCAACTGGACTTCTTTGTAGATATGTATCAGACTGGTTAAGTGTCAATGGGCATGAAGAGGGTAAATCAAAAACAGACCCCAGGGGCAATTTCTGAATAGATTTAAGGAAGAGGTTGCTGGCAACATGTCTATTCTTTAGATGTTCTCAACTATGACAACTACCAAAACTGACTGTTTTGTTGGAAGATGGAGTTGAAACATCCCATTCCTCTCATTCATAACCCCCTTGCCAAAGGTGACAGACACCAAGGCATCACACAAAACAAGCAGTTGTCTCCTTGCAAATTATGGCCCTCATTCTTGTGTTCATCTTTATAGATGGTAGACATGTTATACTAGCTGAGTCTCCCTTCTTCAAAAAGTTTCAAACCAGTAGTGGTTCACATGCAAGTTAGTGTAAGTTAGTCACAACCTCTGAGGATGCTTGCCATAGATGCAGGTGAAATGTCAGGAGAGAATGCTTCTAGAACATGGCCTGAAAAACCTACAACAACCCAGTGATTCCAGCCATGAAAGCCTTTGACAAAACATTAATATTTATAGATAGATACATTTTATTTTGGTCCAGAGACTCTTATTACACTGTAGCAGTTATACAGGTATTGAGATTAAAAACATCCAGTGGATAAAATTTGCAAACAGTAAAAGCTGCTTAAAATACATGTTGGCTAAAAACATGGGTAAAAAGCTACAAGAAGTGCCAGCGTGTTTCAGCCTCAAGGTATACAGGCAATGAGAATTAAGAACAAACAGTTGCTTGGGCACACAGATGGGTAAAATTAACAACAGTTTTAAAATTGCTTAAAACACAAGTTGGCTAAAAATATAGGTAAAAGACTTTCAGCCTGTGTCTAAAATTGGGAAATGTTTAATCCTGGCTGCCTCAGAAAGAGACTTGGCAACTGCCAAGGTCACATGGGGAAGGCTGTCACTAAGTAGAAACTTCACATAAAGTTTCACTGTACTTGCTGGTAAATTCCTTAGTAGGGGGTTGATTATGTCTGCTAGGGCCTGTTCATATAAACTGCGTGACAGTACAATGTGGTAGATGCACTCTTGTAAGCCACCTTTCCACCAAAGTCAACACTGACACTGAAATACAACACCGCCTGAGCTCTGCGAGTGCAGCATTTTTCTGAATGAAGCAAAGAGTGTTTGAGGACCGGGACATCCGTAGGGAGACCAAGGTGCTTGTTTATTAAGCTATTGTCCTCCCAACCCTGCTATACGCCTGCGAGACATGGACTGTCTACAGACGTCACATGCAACTCCTAGAACAATTCCATCAGAGCTGCCCCCGGAAAATCCTGCAAATCTCTTGGGAAGATAAGCGGACAAATGTCAGCGTGCTGGAAGAAGCAAAGACCACCAGCATTGAAGCAATGGTCCTCTGCCATCAACTCCGCTGGACCGGCTACATTATCCGGATGCCCGACCACCGTCGCCCAAAGCAGTTGCTCTACTCCGAACTCAAGAACAGAAAACAGAATGTTGGTGGGCAGAAAAGAGATTTAAAGATGGGTTCAAAGCTAACCTTGAAAGCTCGGGCATAGGCACTAAGGACTGGGAAGCCCTAGCCCTTGAGCGCTCCAGCTGGAGGTCAGCTGTGACCAGCAGTGCTACAGAATTTGAAGAGGCACGAATGGAGGGCGAAACAGAGAAAGGTGCCAAGAGGAAGGCGCATCAAGCCAATCCCAACCAGGATCGCCTTCCACCTGGAAACCAATGCCCTCACTGCAGCAGACGATGCAGATCAAGAATAGGGCTCCATAGTCACCTACGGATCCACCCTAGAGGATTATCCTACTCGGACAACGAGGGATCGCCTAAGTAAGTAAGTAAGTAACATTGGCAGAGTCTTTCATTGTATGGAGTACCTGCAAATCTCCCAGGCAGCAATTCAGACAGGAGCACATTGCACCTAGCTTTGGAAAATAGGCAGCGATATTTAGCTACTGTCATGAAAAGGCCCAACATAATGTATGGGCAGGGCACTAGGGGAGCAGAATACATAGGAGCGAGAGCGCAGCTCACAAAAGGCAATATCCTGATTTGAGAGCCATGTCAAAACCCAGATGTGTTAGGAGGGATGTGGAAAGGTCAATGGAGACAGCTTTCTTAGAGATGATCTCAGACCAACTGCTTATGTACTCATCCTGAGCTAAGTGGTGCATCAAACCAGACCCTAAACTAAAAACTCTGATCTCGATCCAATATTTAAGTGCCCACCACCAGGCTCTTATAATAATAATAATAATAATAATAACAACAACAACAACAACTTTATTTATACCCCCCACCATCTCCCCAAGGGGACTCGGGGCGGCTTACATGAAGCCAAGCCCAACAACACATCAGTAAAAACAAAACAGCAAGCAAATAAAACAGTACAATTAATATAACTCACAATAACACACAGAATTTAAAACCTTATGGTTTTAAATTCGTTTGTTTTGTAATAAATTAAATTAATTAAAAATTTAAAATAAACATTGGTCATGAACAGAGGTAGGATGTATCTAAGCAGAAGGGATTTAAAAGATAATGTAGGGAGACCAAGTGGAAAAGGAAAGGGAAAAGGAATAAAGGAGCCGGAGGCTGCTAGGAATGGTGGGAGTTGAAGTCCAAAACACCTGGAGGGAAGGCCCAAGTTTGCCCAGGCCTGGTGTAGACATTTCAGAGAAGGGAGACTAGGCCCCTTCCACACAGATGCATAAAATCCATATTGAGTTGGATGAGATGGCAGTGTAGATTCAGATAACCCAGTTCAAAGCAGATATTGTGGGTTATCCGCCTTGACATTCTGTGTGGAAGGAAGGAAGGAAAGGAGGGAAGGAAGGAAGGAAGGAAAGAAAGAGGAGGGAAAGAAAAGGAGGGAGAGAAGAAGAAGAGAAGGAGGAAGGAAGGAAGAGGAGGAAGGAAGGAAAGAATGAAAGAAGGAAGGGAAGGAAGGAAGGAGAGAAAGAAAGACAGAGGGAAAGAAAGGGAGGGGAAGAAGAAGAGAAGGAGTGAAGGAAGGAAAGGGAGGGAAGGAAGGAGAGAAAGAAAGAGAGGGAAGGGAAGAAGGAAGGAAGCAAGGAGAAGGAGGGATGGAAGGAGGAGAGGAGGGAGAAAGATGAAAAAAAGGAAGGGAAGAAGGAAGGAATGAAGGAGAGAAAGAAAGAGGAGAAAAGAAAGGAGGGGAAGAAGAAAGAAAGGAAGGAAGGAAGGAAGGAGAGAAGAAGAGGGAGGGAGAAGAAGAGAAGGAAAGAAGGAAGGAAGGAAGGAAGGAGGAGAAAGAAAGAGGGAGGGAAAGAAAGGGAGGGGAAGAAGAAGAGAAGGAAGGAAGAAGGAGGGAGGGAAGGAAGAGAGAAAGAAAGAGGAGGGAAGAGGAAGGGAAGAGGAAGGAAGAAGGAAGGGGGGAGGAGGAAAGAAGAAGAAAGAAAGGAAGGAAGGAAGGAGAGAAGGAAGAGGGAGGGAGGGAGGGAAAGAAAAGGAGGAAAGGGAAGAAGAGAAGAAGGAAGGAAAAGGGAGGGAGGGAAGGAATGAAAGGAAGGAAGGGAAGGAAGGAGAATGCAGAGCCGGGCCTTGGCTTGCAAAGCGCCCTCCTGGCGTGGGCCCGGTGCCCTTCCTTCCTTCCATTCGGGGCGGTTGGGCCTTCCAGGCGGGCGGAGGCCTTCCCTCCGGGCCTAAAACCCCACGCTCGCCTGCCTGTCCCTGCCCGCGAAGAGGGCCCCGAAGGGCGGAGGCGGCGCTGAGGGGAACCGCGGCCCTCTGCTCGCTCGGCAGGCCTCACCAGGTCGTAGTCCTCCTCGTCGTCGCACATGAAATCATCCTCCATGTCGGACATCTTGGCCGGAGGACGCGCGCGGGGGAGGGGGAAGGGGAGGGGAAGGCCGGGCCGAGAGGAAGGCAGGAAGGCAGGCGGAGGAGAGGGCCTTCCGCTCCCACAGGCCCCCGCGCGCGGATCCCCCGCCACGTGACTCCCCCGCGGAACGTTCCGCCCTCTTCCCCGTCTCCCGCACGGACCCTCATCAGGGTGGAACCAGGCCTGGGCGTTGCCCTTGGCAACCGCTTAGGCCTAAGCCTTAAAGAACCCAAAACACTTAGCGCCTTGTATCAGAAAAGGCCCCAAGTTGGCCACTTTCCCCTTAGGCCTCTCTTTTTTACACTGCACTATAATTTATACAGACCTCACAACTTCTGAGGATGCTTTCCATAGATGCAGGTGAAACATCAAAAAAACCAAGATTATGGCAACAAGAATGATTGACAACTGGAAAACAGAGGGAGAAAATGTGGAGGCCGTGACAGACTTTGTATTTCTAGGTGCAAAGATGACTGCAGATGCAGACTGTGGCCAGGAAATCAGAAGACGCTTCCTTCTTGGGAGGAGAGCAATGTCCAGTCTCGATAAAATAGTAAAGAGTAGAGACATCAGACTGGCAACAAAGATCTGCCTAGTCAAAGCCATGGTATTCCCTGTAGTAACCTACGGATGTGAGAGCTGGACCTTAGGGAAGGCTGAGCGAAGGAAGATCGATGCTTTTGAGCTGTGGTGTTGGAGGAAAGTGCTGAGAGTGCCTTGGACTGCGAGAAGATCCAACCAGTCCATCCTCCAGGAAATAAAGCCCGGCTGCTCACTGGAGGGAAAGATACTAGAGACAAAGTTGAAGTACTTTGGCCACATCATGAGGAGACAGGAAAGCCTAGAGAAGACAATATGCTGGGGAAAGTGGAAGGAAAAAGGAAGAGGGGCCGACCAAGGGCAAGATGGATGGATGGCATCCTTGAAGTGACTGGACTGACCTTGAAGGAGCTTGGGGTGGTGACGGCCGACAGGGAGCTCTGGCGTGGGCTGGTCCATGAGGTCACGAAGAGTCGGAGACGACTGAACGAATGAACAACAACAACAACATAATTTATGCAGACCTCACAACTTCTGAGGATGCTTGCCATAGATGCAGACGAAACGTCAGTTCCTTCTGGGTTTTTTTTTGGGGGGGGGGGGTTTGCCTTTATGTACATTCTTTATGTACATTTTTTTTAAAAAATTTCCATTCTTCTTCCATTGGGTTTTCTTTACTCTTCTAGTTTCTTGCATATACAATTCTGGCTGCAGTTATCATATAATTGAATACGATGTCTTGATTCTTATTCATATTCATGTCTGTTATCCTAATAAATAATATAATATAAATAATATTCAAGTTTTATTTGAAATTTTATTTTCAGTTTTTTTTTGTATAATTTCATGGATCATTTTCCAATACATTTTTTTTAGCAATTTTACACCTTAATCTCTTTTCCTGTCCATCAACATTATTTATTTATTTACTCCCAAAGTGACCCATTTAAGGCGGAATCAGGTGTCAAAAAGGGATGTGTTATTGCCCCAATGTTATTTTTATTTATTTATTTATTTCAAAGTTTTATATACCGAGCTTCTCACCTCATAAGAGGGACTCAGCCCGGTTTCCAACCATAAAAACACATACAATCGGTAAAATATCGAAATACACATTACAATAAAACATTTAAAAAGCACATATATTTAAAACTACAGTGGTCAGTCGTCATACTAAAATCGAATATACACCGTCTTCCATCCAAATCATTGTCTCATTCTTCGAAAGCCTGTCTCCACAACCATGACTTCACCTGTTTCCTGAATGTCAGGATTGTTGGGGCGGTTCTAACCTCTGGCGGGAGAGAGTTCCAGAGTCGCGGGGCCACCACCGAGAAGGCCCTGTCCCTCGTCCCCACCAGCCGCGCTTGTGAGGCCGGTGGGACCGAGAGCAGGGCCCCTCCAGATGATCTTAGTAATCTTGATGGTTCGTAGGGAAGAATACATTCGGAGAGGTAAACCGGGCCGGAGTCGTTTAGGGCTTCCTTATTTTCCATCTTTATCGCTATGATACTTCATCTTGTTGATGGGATGCTTCCCACAGGAGTGGAAATCATCTATCGGACAGATGGCAAGCTATTCAGTCTCAACAGACTGAAAGCCAAAACCAAGGTTACAACAACATTTGTTATAGAACTCCAATATGCTGATGATAATGTTGTCTGTGTGCATTCAGAAGTCCTACAAAGCAGTTTAAACATCTTCACAGAAGCATATGAGAAGCTTGGCCTGTCATTGAACATTGAGAAAACCAGAGTGCTCTACCAGCAGTCACCAGCTAATCCCTCTCCAACGCCAGAAATACAGCTTAATGCTGTAACATTAGAAAATGTTGACCATTTCCGTTACCTTGACAACTACCTCTCCACAAAAGTCAACAGTGGCACTGAAATACAACACCACCTGAGCTCTGCGAGTGCAGCATTTTTCCAAATGAAGCAGAGTGTTTGAGGACTGGGACATCCGTAGGGATACCAAGGTGCTTGTTTATAAAGCTATTGTCCTCCCAACCTTGCTCTATGCCTGTGAGACGTGGACTATCTACAGATGTCACATGCAACTCTTGGAATGATTCCATCAGCGGTGCCTCCAAAAAATCCTGCAAATCTCTTGGATAGACAAGCAGACAAATGTCAGCGTGCTGAAAGAAGCAAAGACCACCAGCATTGAAGTGATGGTCCTTCACCATCAACTCCGTTGGATCGGTCACGTTGTCCGGATGCCCGACCACCATCTCCCAAAGCAGTTGCTCTACTCCGAACTCAAGAATGGAAAACGGAATGTTGGTGGACAGGAAAAGAGATTTAAAGATGGGCTCAAAGCCAACCTTAAAAACTCTGGCATAGACACTGAGAACTGGGAAGTGCTCTAGCTGGAGGTCAGCTGTGACCAGCAGTGCTGTGGAGTTTGAAGGGGCACGAATGGAGGGCGAAAGAGAGAAACGTGCCAAGAGGAAGGAGCGCCAAGCCAACTCCGACCGGGACCGCCTTCCACCTGGAAACCGATGTCCTCACTGCAGCAGAAGATGCAGAACAATAACAGGGCTCCACAGTCACCTACGGACCCATTGCCAGGACACCGATCTTGGCAGACAATCCTACTCGAACAAGGAGAGATCGCCTAAGTAAGTAAGTATTCATTTATTGGAGCTGACTACAGACTTTGCCAAACTACAAACTACAGATTCCAAGGAATCTTTTTAAAGTGGAGCCAAACTGCATTGGTGTCCCCATAGTCTTTCTGGTGGGTTAAGTCCCCAGGCCTTTGCAAATGGCCTGGGGACTTTGCAATGGAGATGGAAGAGGAGGAGGAAAGACAGGCCTGTTTGTGTAAATGTTGCCACGTCTAGCAGAAGATAGCAACCTGTAGCAGGCGTTTCCTTGAGCTGTTATTCCCTCCCAGAAGGGCGGGGAAACAGAGAGGAAATGCTGCTGCAGCCAAAGGGAAAAAGGCTTCCTCCCTCCCTCCCTGCTGGAGTTTGGCTTCCCCCTTTTCAGATCCGGAAGGAAGGCGTTTCTGTGCTTGATTTGCAGCCAGCTGGAAGGGAGCAGGGAAGGCTTGGCTTTGGAGAAGCCAAGCATGGCAGCCCAGGAGCCCCCCATCCACTCCATTCCTTTGGAAGAGGAACCCAGGTGGGTCGGGCTTGGCTCTCCTGGAGCCTCTCCATCCTGGATCCCCCCTTCACCTTTAATCCTGGTGGACTTTTTCAACCCTGGAGCCCTGTTTGAAGCAAAAGTTTCTCGTGGAACATTATGTCATATTATATGGTCATTGTTACCGTTACATTGTTATTGTTATAGTCATGGTCATTGTTATTGTTACAATGGCTGGATGGCCATCTGTTGGGGGTGCTTTGATTGTGCTTTTCCTGCATGCAGAAGGGAGTTGCCCATGACTGATAGATCTATCTACCTATCTATCTATCTACCTCTATCTATCTATCTATCTCTCTCTATCCGACCAGGTTGTGGCGCAGTTGGCTAGGAGTCAGCTGCATTAAATGACCAGTGACCGAAAGGTCATGAGTTCAAAGCCAGCCAGAGTCAGAATAAGCTCCCGACCATTTGTCTAGCTTGCTGTTGACATTTGCAGCCTGAAAGACATTTGCATTCATCAAGTAGGAAAGTTAGGTACTGCTTATGTGGGGAGGCTAATTTAACTAATTTACAAAACCAGAAAAAATCTCCAGCAGCACGCAAAAGAATGAGGAAGTACTCCATCAGTGTCACAAGTGGACGGTGAAGTGACAGCTCCCTCGGTGGCATACCCTCGTGAATCCGGAAAGTTAAATAGCCTCTGTGTGTCTGTGGCATTGAATGTTTGCCATGAATATGTGCATTGTGATCTGCTCTGAGTCCCCTGTGGGTTTTTTTTTTTTGTCGTGTCAGGAGCAGCCTGAGAAACTGCAAGTCACTTCTGGTGTGAGAGAATTGGCCGTCTGCAAGGACGTTGCCCAGGGGACGCCTGGATGATTTGATGTTTTTATCATCCTTGTGGGAGGCTTCTCTCATGTCCCCGCATGAGGAGCTGGAGCTGATAGAGGGAGCTCATCCGTCTCTCCCCGGATTCGAACCTGCGACCTGTTGGTCTTCAGTCCTGCCGGCACAGGGGTTTAACCCACTGCGTCTGCGGGGTGAGAAGGGCAGAATATAAATACTGTAACTAAATAAATAAATGTCTGTTTGTCTGTCCATCTCTCTATCTGTCAGGCATGGGCAACTCCCTTCTGCATGCAGGAAAAGCACAATCAAAGCACTCCCAACAGATGGCCAGCTAGTCATTGTAACAATAATGACCATGACAGTAATAATAATAATAGCAGAAACCCCAAATATTATATTATATTTATTAGGTAAAGGTTTTTCCCTGACATTAAGTCTAGTCGTGTCCGACTCTAGGGGTTGGTGTTCATCTCCAAGGTCATGTGGTCAGCATGACTTCGTGGAGCGCTGATACCTTCCTGCCGGAGCGGTACCTATTCACCTACTCACATTTACATGTTTTCAAAATGCTAGGTTGGCAGGGGATAGGCCAACAGTGGGAGCTCACACTGCTCCCCGGATCCAAACCTGCGACCTTTCGGTAAGCAAGTTCATTCACTCAGCAGTTTAACCCACTGTGCCAATCAGGAAAAGCACAATCAAAGCACCCCCAAGAGATGGCCATCCAGCCATTGTAACAATAATAATGACAATGATATTAATTGCAGAAATTGGGAGGGATAGCCAATACTCCAGAAGACAGGGTTAGAATTCAAAACAATCTTAACAAATTATAAAGATCATTGGCCAAAACTAACAAAATGAAGGTCAGCAGGGAGAAATGCAAGATACTCCACTTAGGCAGAAAAAATGAAATGCAAAGATAGAGAATGGGGGACGATGCCTGGCTTGACAGCAGTACGTGTAAAAAAGATCTTGGAGTCCTAGTGGAAAACAACTTAAACATGAACCAACAATGTGTTGCGGCGGCAAAAAAAAAAAAAAAAAAGGCAATGGAATTTTGGCCTGCATAAGTCATGCTCCCCATGCTCTCTTCTGCCTTGATCAGACCACACTTGGAAACACATTGTGTCCAATTCTGGGCAATTGAAGGGAGGTGCTGACAAGCTGGAATGTGTCCAGAGAAGGGTGACTAAAATGATCAAGGGTGTGGAGAAAAAGTCCTATGAGGAGCGGCTTAAAGAGCTGGGCATGTTTCGCCTGCAGAAGAGAAGGATGAGAGCAGACATGACCAGGGCCATGCATCAAGATGTGGGGGGAAATCATAGGGAGGAGGGAGCAAGCTTGTTTTCTGCTACCCTGGAGACTAGGATGCGGAACAATGGCTTCGAACTACAGAAAAGGATATTCCACTTAAACATTCAGAAAAACTTCCTGACTGTAAGAGCTGTTCAGCAGTGGAACTCTTTGCCCCGGAGTGTGGTGGAGGCTCCTTCTTTGAAGGCTTTTAATCAGAGGCTGGATGGCCATCTGCCGGGGGTGCTTTGAATGCAATTTTCCTGCTTCTTGGCAGAATGGAGTTGGACTGGAGGGCCCACGAGGTCTCTTCCAATTCTATGATTGTATTATTCTAAACCCAGGTCATCCAGTCCAACTTCCTTCTGACATGCAGGGCAAGCACAATCAAAGCAACCCCTGAGCGGTGGGAGATAAATAGCGTTTTGGAAGTAAGGAAAGCCCACTGTAGCCAAAGATTCTCCATGGATTCAACAGCCCTTTGAAAGATACCGTAAGTTGGATGTGGCCCTTGATGAAAATGAGTAACATCCATATCCTAAAACTTGACCTCAAAGGCCTTGTTGGATGTAATTTTCTGTGCAGAACTGAATTAACTCTCATGTTAATTACTTTTTCCTTTCACCATTAATGTTTGGGATTGTTTGTACCTTTAGTATACCTCAACACAAATCTATATATACTAGCCGTCCCCTGTCCTGCGTTGCTGTGACCCACATGGGGGTTCTGTGTGGGAGGTCTGGCCCAATTCTATCGTTGGTGGGTTCAGAATGCTCTGTGATTGTAGGTGAACTATAAATCCCAGCAACTACAACTCCCGAATGTCAAGATTCTATTTTCCCCAAACTCTACCAGTGTTCACATTTGGACATATTGAGTATTCGTGTAGAGTTTGGTCCAGATCCATCATTGTTTGAGTCCACAGTGATCTCTGGATGTAGGTGAACTACAACTCCCAAAACTCAAGGTCAATGCCCACCAAACCCTTCCAGTATTTTCTGTTGGTCATGGGAGAACTGTGTGCCAAGTTTGGTTCAATTTCATCATTGATGGGATTCAGAATGCTCTTTGATTGTAGGTGAACTATAAATCCCAGCAACTACAACTCCCAAATGACAAAATCAATTTTTTTGAGTGAAGGACATACATTGGGTTGTTAGGTGTCTTGTGTCCAAATTTGGTGTCAATTTGTCCAGTGGTTTTTGAGTTCTGTTAATCCCACAAATGAACATTACATACATACATACATATACATATATATAAAGAGAGAGAGAGAGAGAGATGTATGGTCCTAGATATATATTTTGCATTCGGCTGTATTATACTTCTCAGTATCTTGGGAAACAGCCAGTATAATTTTGTGCCACATGGCTCCTAAGATTCTCCGTTGCTTGGGGAAGGCCCGGGCTTTAGCACACCTGGCAAATCACCAGCAATGATAAGATCGACTAACTGAAATGTTTCCAGTTTGAAGCCCTGGGTCGGCATGAGCTCCCAACTATCAGCCCAACTTACTGTTTACCTAAGCAGTTCGAAAACGGCTTGAGCTGTAAGTAGAGAAATTAGGTATCGCTGAAACAAGCGGGGAGATATTTTACGACAGAAAAAGATCAGAAAATGGCTGGTGACCAAAAGGAAGGAAGAAGTCTTGATGGGATGGAACGACAGCACCCCCATGTGGCTGAATTCAAGCCACAATCTCCAAGGCTCCAAAAAGCTGGATGTTGGCACAGAATACATCCTTCCTGTTCTGTCTGACTTTGTCCTTTCTGTCCAATGTTTGCTGTGTATGTGTACTGTGATCTGCCCTGAGCCAAAATGGGGAGATAGGGTGGAGTATAAATAAAGTGTTGTTGTTGTTGTTGTTGTTGTTGTTGTTGTTATATTTCACCTCTTCACATGCGTACAGTCATGTAAACCTTAAACATCCCCACCTGCTTTTCAGGCTGCTGAAGCTGAAGAAGAAGTTCATCTCTAAATTTAAATCCACTCCCAAGTTTTATGCTCGAGCACCAGGGCGAGTCAACTTAATAGGTAATATGGAGTGATATCACTTCTATACATCATGAATTCACATGATTTCCACAATATCAAGAGATGTTGGAATGTCTGGAGATTGAGAGAGGTATAGAGATATTTAACTCATTTGTGTCTTTATGCAGGATTGGTCCAAGATACTTAGCTGTTGTAGGCTGAACAACGTTTGTTTCTGTCCATTTAATGCGGCAGAGGGTCTCCATCTCCTTGGCAGAAAGGAAGGGAAGAGAAGTTTAATAAATTAAATTAAATTGTGGATTTCATGACAAATCACCTGCCTGAGCAGAACGGCTAACTTAAAACACCCTCCACCTAAATGAGTGCTTGGCAAAGTCATTCTGGACCAGTTTTCACTCACCTTCAGATGGTCTAAAGGGGCATCTGTATTGTGGAATTAATGCACTTTGACACCATTTTAGCTGCTGTGAAAATGACTGATTTCTAAACTGTTCAAAGATCTAACATTCTGTCTTGTTTGTTAGGAGAACATATTGATTACTGTGGGTATGCTGTACTCCCAATGGCCATAGACCAAGATATACTCATTGCAGCCGAACCTCTGAACACTCCTGTCATCCACTTGGCCAATGCAAACGACTTGTATGCGTAAGTCTCTTTATTAATTAATATTAATATTACATGTAGGTTTTATAGACCCTGTATATATAGGTTTTGTTGTTGCTGTTGTTGTCATTATTTGACATCAAGTCAATTGGGGGAGGGGGTGTTACATGATAAATTGCCCTTCTGTACTTGCCCGTTGTTGCGCAGCAAGCGGCTCTTAGCCGCGTCCCATGCACAGGACTCACAGACAAGAGTAGAAATGAACAGAAGAAATCTTTACTCTTAATAGCAGAGATGAAATACAAACTTGCAGTGTTGCGTACAAAAAACAAACTGTGCAAGAAACTTACATAAATAATAATAATAATAATAATAATAATAATAATAATCTTTATTTTTACCCTGCCACCATCTTCCCAAAGGGGACTCGTGGTGGCTTACATGAGGCCAAGCCCGGTAGTGCAATTACAGTAACATAGCACAAAAGTATTGTCGAAGGCTTTCATGGCCGGAATCACTGGGTTGTTGTAAGTTTTTTCGGGCTATATGGCCATGTTCTAGAGGCATTCTCTCCTGACGTTTCGCCTGCATCTATGGCAAGCATCCTCAGAGGTAGTGAGGTCTGTTGGAACTAGGAAAATGGGTTTATATATCTGTGGAAAGACTAGGGTGGGACAAAGGACTCTTGTCTGCTGGAGCTAGGTGTGAATGTTTCAGCTGACCACCTTGATTAGCATTTGATGGCCTGGAAGTGCCTGGAGCAACCTTTTGTTGAGAGGTGATTAGATGTCCCTGATTGTTTTCCCTCTGCTGTTTTGCTGTTTTAATTTTAGAGTTTTTTAAATACTGGTAGCCAGACTTTGTTCATTTTCATGGTTTTCTCCTTTCTGTTGAAATTGTCCACAAGCTTGTGGATTTCAGTGGCTTTACTGTGTAGTCTGACATGGTGGTTGTGAGAGTGGTCCAGCATTTCTGTGTTCTCAAATCATATGCTGTGTCCAAGTTGGTTCATCAGGTGCTCTGCTATGGCTGACTTCTCTGGTTGAATTAGTCTGCAGTGCCTTTCATGTTCCTTGATTCGTGTTTGGGCAATGCTGCTGCGTTTGGTGGTCCCTATGTAGACTTGTCCACAGCTGCATGGTATACTCTAAAATAGTAATATAAAAATAGCTAAAACATTTAAACCTAGATAAAAATTCACTACCTAATAACATCAATAAAAACATCATAAAACAATAAATCCTCCGCATTTCATTACCAAATCATTATCCAGTCGCGCTGTCCAGCCATTCCGAGATCAGAGTTTATCTGCTGCACTGCATTTGGGAAAGCCTGCTCAAATAGCCAGGTTTTTACTCTTTTATGAAATGTTAAGAGGGTGAGGTCTAACGTACCTGGGGAGGGTATTCCACAGCTGAGGGGCCACCGCTGAGAGGGCCCTGTCTCTCATCCATGCCAGCTGAACCTTTGAAGATTTATTTATTTATTTTATTTCAAAGTTTTATATATCGAGCTTCTCACCTCATAAGAGGGACTCAGTCCGGTTTCCAACCATAAAGACACACACAATCGGTAAAATATCAAAATACACATTATAATAAAACATTTAAAAAGCACATATTTTAAAACTACAGTGGTCAGTCGTCATTACTAAAATCGAATATCGAATATACACCGTCTTCCATCCAGATCGTTGTCTCATTCTTCAAAAGCCTGTCTCCATAACCATGACTTCACCTGTTTCCTGAATGTCAGGATTGTTGGGGCGGTTCTGACCTCTGGCGGGAGAGAGTTCCAGAGTCGTGGGGCCACCACCGAGAAGGCCCTGTCCCTCGTCCCCACCAGACGCGCTTGTGAGGCCGGTGGGACCGAGAGCAGGGCCTCTCCAGACGATCTTAATAATCTTGATGGTTCATAGGGGAGAATACATTCAGAGAGGTAAACAGGGCCGGAGTCGTTTAGGGCTTTATAGGTTAACACCAGCACTTTGAATTGTGCTCGGAAGCTAATTGGCAGCCAGTGGAGCTGGTGTAACAGCGGAGTGGTGTGCTCCCTGTACCCCGCACCTGTTAGTAATCTGGCTACCGCGCGTTGGACTTGCTGCAGCTTCCGGGCAGTCTTCAGAGGCAACTCCACGTAGAGAGCGTTGCAGTAATCTAAATAGGATGTAACCAGAGCATGGACCACCGTGGCCAAGTCAGCCTTCCCAAGGTACAGGTGCAGCTGGCGCACAAGTTTTAGTTGTGCAAAAGCTCCCCTGACCACCGCCGAGACCTGGGGTTCCAGGCTTAGCGATGAGTCTAGGAGAACTCCCAGACTGCGAACCTGCGCCTTTAGTGGCGCAGCACAGGCTGTAACCCCGTACCTTGTTCGGTCTTACGACTGACCAGGAGTACCTCTGTCTTGTTTGGATTTAGTTTCAATCTGTTGTCCCTCATCCAGTCCGTCACAGCGGCCAAGCACCGGTTCAGGACTTGGACAGCCTCCTTAGTAGCAGGTGGAAAGGAGTGATAGAGTTGGACATCATCTGCGTACAGATGACACCGTACCCCGAAACTCCGGATGATCTCTCCCAACGGCTTCATGCATATGTTAAACAACATAGGGGACAGTACTGAAGATGGCAGGACCGAGAGCAGGACCTCCCCAGAAGATCTTAACTTCCTACGATTATGATTCATAACAGTAGCAAAGTTAGAGTTATGAAGTAGCAAGGATAATAATGTTATGGTTGGGAGTCACCACAACATGAGGAACTGTATGAAGGGGTCACGGCATTAGGAAGGTTGAGAAACACTGATATCTCTACTAATCTACTAACAGTTTTAACGAAAATTGCAGAATTTACTCTGTAGATAATACATCATTAGAGAAAAGCATGAAGTGAAACAATTTGCTGTGAATAATTAAGATCAACTTCCAGTGAAGAAGAACTGGAAAAGAAGAGATGAAGATCAAGAGACAAAGTGAAAAGACAGAAGAAGATGCAATTAATAGTCTTTTATTTTGTCACACCGGTTCCCGTGATCTGTTTTCAACAGGTCTGTCATAAATTCGAGCCCTGACACTTTCCAGGACAGTGTGAAAGTGTCAGGTTTTTTTTTTGCAACCTTTGCAAAGTGTTCTTTTCCCCCAGCAACTCCTTTATTTTCCCCAAATAGACTGTCTGTCTCCTTCTTTTGGGAGGCATATGAGGACACATGCAATGAATGTGTTAGTTTAGAAGCCAATTTTTCTTTCAGTCTTTTGGTTTGAGATATTTGCCACAACAACAAGAAACCCGTCAGTGGTTTGCACACATAAATCATAACATTTTACACCACGGAGCAAGAAGTGATACCATGTAATCATCCCCATTTTGTTTATTGTTTGGGTTTCGAGCTTTGAAAAGACACGCATCGAAGAAACACAATCTCTGTTTATTTTGGGGCGACGAGGAAGCAGCCGATTGCAAGTTTACTTTCTGCGGCAAACAATAACAACTCTCAGCACAAACACTGGTCTCTGTTGAGAGCAACATCTCCTTTTTTGTGGTATTGTTTCTCAATATTCTCCGAGGAAGGCTTAGGAATCCATGGAAAATCTGTCTTGAGCTATGTATAGACCTTCAGCCGTGCCTGAATGTTATTTCCCCACTTTCCAGAATTCTTATTTATATATTTTCTCCATTTGGGTGGGGTTTTTAAAAGGCATTTTGCACCATTTTCGGGATCCTGAACCTGTTTTTGTTGGAAATTCAAGCCTCCTATACTAGCTATTTGTTATGGATATAATTCAGAATACTTGCTGTATTGTGTATGTATGTATTGGTATGCAGTTTTCCTTAACTCTATGTTGTGGGACAGCCCGCAGACCATGTAATCAGAACTGGGACTATTCAGGACTCAGACTCCATTTTAGAAACAGTACAGCTTAGATGCCAGTAGAAACAATATGCTTTTAGAAGTAAGCAGAAACAGAATGTTTTAGATAACAGTCTCTATTCAACTCTCAGACCAGAGAGATGCTTTAGACTTTGATTATAAGAAAGATATCCTGTGTTATCTGCACAGAGAAACTACTTCTAATTCTGTATGTAACTGGATTGATATGCAATGTAGCTGTATGCTGAATACATGAAGTTTTGTGAGTAAACCAACTATGTTACTTTTTAAAAAGTCTACTTACAAGGGGCATTCATTAAAGATTTCCCCTGATCCACTTCCTGTGGATGGAGAGTGTGCCGCCGTGCCTGGGGCTATAGATCTTAGTGAAGGAAACATGGAAGTGACATCTTTTCCCCAGGGGATTGTTTCCTGCCCTCCTTTAGAGAACTGGAACTCCCAAGGATCAAGACACTATAGATAACTCYAAATAGGCTTTATTGTTCACAATGAGTTATCTTTCTCAGGCATAAACTTGATGTTTCAACAGGGGTAAAGGAAATATACGTTACAGTCTCTGAAGTCTTGGTCCAAGGGGTTTTCCATCTGAGAAGCTTTCCAGGTTCCCTCTTTCTCAAMGGCTGTGAAAGCCTGAGCATTCACAACCCCAGTCCAATGATCTATATTTGAAGGCACAAAGTCTTCCTCTTGATGCCAAGGGACTGTTTTGAAGGCGCTTAAGATTCCTCAACATTGTCCAGGGTGATCTGAACATCTTAAGAGTAGAAACTTAAGAATTGGTGATGAGAGATGACTTGACTGAGGGCTTTAGAGCCAAACCTTTCTCACGTCRACCTGCTGAGTTGTCTGATGGTAGAATGAAAAGAAAGCACTMCCCTCTTCCCCAGGAAGGGGTGGAGTCKAACAATTGAGCAGGGGGAGCAATTCAACCGGTGCAAAATAACATTGATTGACAGCTATAGGTAACCAATTTAGCAATACATTCACATACAAGTGGGGACAGACGCGCCGTCACAGAGAGCAATGAAATTTGGCACTTCTCTCCATCGGTGCCACCCAGGGACACACACTTCTCCCATCTTTTTAAGCAACTGTAAACACTTCGCTTGTAGAAGTTGACAGGTTGCTCCAAAAGCTACGTTGTGACTTTGGAATCAGAGGCTCATCATCTGAAAATGCTTGCCCTTCAAAAATAACTTCATTGTTGGAAAGAGGTAGAACTCCAATGGTGCGAGTTCAGGTGAATAAGGGGGATGAGGTTGAATTTCAAAGCCACAGGAGCATGCTTCCATGTGGGTGGTAAACTGTGCAATGTCTTGCAGAAGGTGGACACCTTTTGTGAGCATGCTCGTCTTTTGGTTTTGATAGCCTCCCACAGTTTCCGCAGCAGTGAAGCATTGTATGCCCCAGGGATCATGGCACCCTTTTCTAGGAAATCCATCAATACTACTCTGTGTTGGTCCCAAAATATTGTGAGCATGACCTTGCCTGCCAAGTGTTGGGCACGTGCCTTCTTTGGAAGCGGTGAGTCATGATGCTTCCATTGCATCGACTGGACTTTAGTCTCAGGATCATAGCGATGGACCCAGCTTTCATCCTGTGGGATCAGTCTGTTGAAAAAGTCCTCCTGGTTTCCATGTCACATTGTCAATGGAGCCTGAGAACATTCAACTTGTTCTTGCTTCTGGAAAGGCGTGAGCAGCTGGGGAACCCAGCGAGTGGATACCTTGTGCATGTGAAGATGGTCTTGGATTATTTTTTCCACGGACCCCAAGGACGACAGTTTAGAGGGGGCTTAAAATTCAGCCTACAGCACTTGCTATTCATTTATAGTAATCTCCCATCCAAGTCAAAACCAGGGCTGACCCTGCTTAGCTCCCAAAATCAGACAGGATCTGGTTTCTTTAAGATATTGAGGCTTTAAAATACAAATTCACATAGATAAGTTTTAATCAATATTAAGAAAGTAAGCTGGGTGTGAGAAAGAATATTTTGTGGAAAGTATACTATGTTGTTGGAGAGTTGTTGTGCTACTCCTTTGTCAGGAGGAGGCAGCAGTAAGCTGTTTTTATGTTTCAGAGCATTAAACTTGTCAATAAAAAACTTCATATGTTTTATTTTTTCCCAGGGATTTTAGCACAAATGTTGATAACATTCAGATTAATCAAACAAAACCGTTGTGGCACAACTACTTCTTATGTGGATTCAAAGGAATTGAGGTAAGCATATTCAGTGTGATTCATTATTGTAAGTTGGATGTTTTAAGATACAGGGTGGATAAGGCAACAATATATGTCAGGTAGGTATATATATATAATTTTAGGAACTGTATGTTTTTCCTTTCCTTTCCTTTCAGGCTTTAACAAGTTTCTAAGTTAATGTCTTTCTATTTATTTATTGTGTCAGAAGTGAGTTGAGAAATGTATAGAAAAAACACAAACAGAGTCAAAAGCTTGGCATTATACCAAATTTCCTTTTACCAGAAGCTGGTCACGTGTGTTGCTGTGAGAAGGGCCTCCATTGTGCATGTGGCAGGGCACAGACTGTATTGTAATAAATGGTCTGTGGTTTGCTCTTCTCCACACTCGCATGTCATGGACTCCACTTTGTAGCCCCATTTCTGAAGGTTGGCTCTGCATCTCGTGGTGCCAGAGTGCAGTCTGTTCAGCGCCTTCCAAGTCTCCCAGTCTTCTGTGTGCCCAGGAGGGAGTCTCTCATTTGGTATCAGCCATTGGTTGAGGTGCTGGGTTTGAGCCTGCCACTTTTGGACTCTGGCTTGCTGAGGTGTTCCAGCGAGTGTCTCTGTAGATCTTAGAAAGCTATTTCTGATTTAAGGCGTTGACATCTTGACTGATATCCAAACAAGAGGATGGACCAGACGTGTCAATGCCTTAGTCCTTTCATTACTAGCTACTACTTCCCAGCAGATATCAAATGGTGCAATACCAGCTAAACAGTATTTCTCCAGTGATGTAAGGAATAGACATCCTGACATATATATGTTTGAAAGACTTTTATATAGTTTCAAGAAAAGAATAGAATCGTGTAGTAGAATGACATTAATAAAATGTAATATAGCATCATTACCAACAATTTCCTGATCTGATCTTTATTGTTTTGATTACTAGATCATTACTTAAAAATAAAATGTCTATTTTGGGAATGTGAGAAGAAGGGACAAAATTTCTAGGCAGCCATTAGGATTCTCACTTTAACTAGATCAGAAAGTAGGAATATGAAAGAAAATCATATTACAGGAAATCAAACTTCGGGAAAGGAGATTCCACCTGAACATTAGGAAGAACTTCAAGTGGAATCTCATTAGGAAGAACTTCAAGTGAGAGCTGTTCAGCAGTGGAACTCTCTGCCCCGGAGTGTGGTGGAGGCTCCTTCTTTGGATGGCCATCTGTCGGAAGTGCTTTGAATGCGATTTTCCTACTTCTTAGCGGGAGGTTGGACTGGATGGCCCATGAGGTTTCTTCCAACTCAATGATTCTATACTTCTATGTTTTACACATTGATCAATTAATATTTTGTAGCAGTAAAAGACCAATTTAATGGGGAAAATATTTGTATTCCAAGATTAACTTATTTAAAAGAGTATTCATTTTGTTATTCACATTAATGTTTGGCTTTGTTCCACCCTTTTTGAGCTGCTTGAGGGAACGAGAGGGTATCTTTTGAAGGTTAGCACACACTATGTTATTTATCCACCAGCACATTGCTTTAGGGCTGAGGATATGTTTGGCTACTTGGATTATTTTTGTGGTCTTAAGAACCTCCCAAAATAAAGAAAAAATTGTCCCCAATGCCCCCAGTCCTCTGGGCCATTTTAGAAAAGGTCTTTTCAAAAATTGGAGGTAAGCTGTGTCTCTATGTCTCGGTTCAAGGATGATGGCAGACTTCAACTCTGATACGCTGCCCAACACATTTTGGTGCCTCAGATGTTAATCCTGTTTCTGGGTACATTTGACCTTGGCACCAGATAGAGATCCTATCATCTCTAGTTTTTGAGAAGCAGAACATTTGCTATCTGCTTGCCTATAGAATACCATGGTAACTATATCTAAGAAACTAATGCTGATGTGGTCTACCCAATGCATTTTTCTGAACCAGTATCCCAAAGAACCCTAGGAACAGGCCTAAAAACCAACACACATACACACACACACACACATATATAGGGGTTATTGAGCTGTGATGGCTCAGTGGGATAAACTCTTGTGCTGCTAAACTGCTGATCTGAAGGTTGGCAGTTTGAATCCGCGAGACAGGTGAGCTCCCATCTGTCAGCTCAAGCTCTTGTCAAGCTAGCAATTTGAAAACACGCAAATGTGAGTAGATAATTAAGCACCGCTTTGGCGGGAAAATGCAAAGAGACGCTCCAAACAATCTTGCCTACTGCACAACCAGAAGATGACAACACAGGCTCCTCGGCTTGAAAATGGAGAAAAGCATCTCCCTACAGCCAGAAATGAGCACTGCCTCCAGAAACCAGAAATGAAAGGAGAAGCCTCTGCCTTTGTTTGTGTTTGTGTGTCTCATTGTATCTGATTGTAAAGGCATTAAATGTTTGCTTATGTATATAAATGCTATAATCCGCTCTGGGTCCCCTTGGGAAGAAGGGCAGAAGATAAATAAAGTGTATTATTATTATAACCAGTGGTTCTAGAAACTGGCTTTCTAGCATTATGCTTTCTGAAGGCGCAGAACACAAGCATCATGGGTCAACCCTAGTCTATTGTGTTGCTGTGAGATCTGATAATATCTTTGATGCTGTTTTTCTGTGGTTTCTAGGATCATTTCGGTCTCGACAGCCCAAGTGGAATGAACTGCCTTATAGAGGGCACGATTCCCCCAAGTTCTGGCCTCTCCAGCTCCAGCGCTTTGGTTTGCTGTGCGGGACTTGTGACTCTCATGGCAAATGGGAAGACTCTTCCAAAGGTACTAAAATAATAGCAACCTAGTCCTGATAGTAATGGTGGGAGGGTATTAACTTGGGAAGGATTTTATTTGTCAAGAACTACGCTGTCTCCTCTGCCTGTTCCAAAGATTAAGAACCACAGTATATAGAAAACTCCAAAACCGTTCAGTCTTTGCAAGCAAAGAAATCCTGGCACGTATCAGAGGAAAACAGAGAAAGAGACCCAAGTCTTTCTTTGTCTGCTGAATTCTGTGTTTCCTTAGGTGGAATTGGCTGAACTTTGCAGCAAGAGTGAACGCTATATTGGCACACAAGGAGGAGGCATGGACCAATCCATCTGTTTCCTTGCAGAGAAAGGAACGGTACGTACCACTCCCGTTATCTCAAGCGGATATAGTTAATGGTGAGGGATTATGGGCTTAATGTTAAGAGGGTAGTGTCCAAGGAAGTGGATACAGCCAAGAAATACAAACAAAACACTTGACTGGAGGTAACGAGTCCACAATTTTGTTGTTACTGTTGTGTGGCATTGGCTTGGTATGATATGCAGATTAGATGAGCTGGTGCCATCTGATCACTTCATGTGCCTCTATAGCCCACAAACAGGTCATAATAATAACAACAACAACTCATTCCACCCAAATAGTGATGTCAGCAGATTTTACCTGCCAAGAAAATCAGGAGGCAGAGCTATTATTATTATTATTAATATTATTAATATTAATAATAATAATAATAATAATAATAAATAAATAAACTGTATTTAATACCCCGCCAACATCTCCCCAATGGGGACTCGTGGTGGCTTACATAAGGCCAAACCCAACAGCATATTACAATAAAGTAAAACCAAAACACAATAACAACACAGTAAAATACATACAACATATGAGTACAAAGATGATAAAGCAAAATCATACACAATAATTATTACTATTACTATTTTTTTATTTTACTGACACAAAAACACAGTATGTCACAGCAAGTGAGATCTGTATGTTGGATTTCGTATCAAAAAATCGCAAGTCGAACACTTTCCAAGCATCTAGGACTGTGTGATGTATTTTCGAATTATGCGCACAGATCCAAGTCAGGTGGCATTTTGCAGTTGACAAATAGTGATTTTGTCGTTGTTTATTGTTTCCAAATGCCGGGTGAGATCTTTTGGCACAGCATCCGATGCGCCAATGACCACTGGGACCACCTGTACTGGTTTCTGCCAGAGTCTTTGCAGTTCGATTTTGAGATCTTGATAGTGGCTGAGTTTTTCCTGTTGTTTTTTCTCAATGCGACTGTCACCTGGAACGGCGACATCAATAATCCAGCCTTTTTTCTTTTCCATAACCATGATGTCTGGCGTGTTGTGTTTCAAAACTTGGTCAGTGTGGATTCGGAAGTCCCACAGTATTTTTGCATGTTCATTTTCCATGATCTTTGCGACTTTATGATCCCACCAGTTCTTTACTGCTGGCAGGTGTAACTTGGACATAAGTTCCAGTGAATCATCTGGGCCACAGAGTTGTGTCTTTGTTTGTAGTCTGTCTGTGCAATTTTCTTGCAACAGCTGAGGAGATGGTCCATGGTTTCATCAGCTTCCTTGCACAGTCTGCATTTTGGGTCATCCACTGATTTTTTGATCCTAGCCTTAAATTCATTTGTTCTGATGGCTTGCTTCTGGGCTGCAAGAATCAGGCCTTCTTCTGTCTCCTTCTTCAGTGTTCCATTGGTGAGCCATAACCAAGTCTTCTCCCTGTCCAGTTTTCCTTCAATTATTACTATTACTATTATTTTTATCTATGCCTTACAGAGACTCAAAGTGGCTTACAATAAAACAAATTCAGTTTTAATAGGTTTTTCTCACTGTTGCATGCCAGTTTTTTCTTAGTCAACATCAGTTCCTAAGACAAAGAGTCCAGAAGTAAATGATGTTTGATTAATTGCTCTTAAATATGGAGCTGGCTACCCATTGAAATTACTCTTGACCGTATGTTTTTCTTTCTAGGCCAAGCTGATAGAGTTCAATCCTCTGAGGGCAACTGATGTGAAGCTTCCAGAGGGAGTTGCTTTTGTTATCGCAAACAGTTGCGTGGAAATGAACAAGGCAGCAACTTCTCATTTCAATATTAGGGTGATGGAGTGTCGTCTGGCCACAAAGGTACTGTATGGCTTTCATCAACGTCTGATGCAGTGGTTCTCAATCTTTTTTTGACCAGGGACCACTCTCCAACATTAGTACCAAAAGGGTCATAAATCGGTTTTTGGTCAACTTGAGATTCAGCTTGGGGTGCTGATTCAGAAAATTGCATTGGATACACCACATCAGCTCTAGTTTCTGATACAGAATATATGCCATGGTCAGCGACAGGGAAGGAGTGGCAGGCGGCATTAAAAGAGCAGAAATAAATAAAATAAAATAAAATAAAATAAAATAAAATAAAGAAGAAAGAGGTTCATGGACCAGATTTTCATCCTTGTGGCCCACTGGTAGTCCGCGGCCCACAGGTTAAGAATGACTGGTCTAATGAAACCATCACCCAAATATGTGCTGGCTTGTAACCCCTTTCACTCTACCAGTTGTTGCCTTGTTTTAACACCAGGTCAGGGCATGTTTCCCTCATCTGGGTCTGGACTCCAGCCATTTGCCCATGATGGATGGGATCTAAGGCTTGGAAGCCCCAGCCATTGACTCTGCTCGGTAAGGCTCATGGAAGCTGCAGTCCTACAACATCTAGAAAGACCACATAAGTTTTATTTTTATCTCTCCTCCTCCAAATTCAGCGCCCAAACACAAATCAAGGAACATGAAAGTCACTGCAGACTAATTCAATCAGAGAAGTCATTCATAGCAGAGCACATGATGTTATTTGAGAACACAGAAATGCTGGACCTCTCTGACAACCGCCATGTTAGACTACACAGAGAAGCCATTGAAATCCACAAGTATGTGGGAAATTTCAACAGAAAGGAGGAAACCATGAAAATGAACAAAATCTGGCTATCAGTATTAAAAAAAAACTCTAAAATCAGGACAGTACATAAAGAGAGACACTCAAAAAGCAGGGGAATTCCAGACAGGAAACAATCAGAGCCAGCTAACACCTCCCAACAAAGGATTCCCCCAGGCAGGAAGCAGCCAGGCTTTGAAGCTGCAAGGCCATTCAATGCTAATCAAGACGGCCAATTGCAACATTCATACTTATCTCAAACAGACAATAGTTCTTTCTCCCATGCTGGACATTATTTCACAATTATATACATCCCACTTGCCTAGTTTCCAATAGAACTCACAACCTCTGAGGATTCCTGCCATAGATGTGGGTGAGATGTTAGAAGATAATGTTTCTGGAACATGGCCATACCGCCCAGAAAACTCACAGCAACCTAGTGATTCTGACCATGAAAGCCTTCAACAACACATCCTCCATGTTTTGTTGGTAATAGAAATGTGATATCTTATATGCCCATTCTGTTAGCCAACCTTCTCTTCTTCCTCTATTGCATTTTTTTTGCAAAAGAGATTGTCTTAAGCAGAACACACTTTATCATTTTGACAGACTGTGGGATATGAAGTAAATGAAGCCCAACTTTGTCTCTCCGCTATGAAAAAGCATCACTGAAGCCATGTGGAAATTATAATTCTAAATATTACCTGAGTAGGTCTTATAGCAAATTAGAGGTAGGAATTGTCTCAAAATGTATACAATAAGGTTTTTGGCACCATTTTTGCAAGATTTCACAGTATAATATAACTGGGGAGTTTACCTTTTCTAACAGTTAAGTTGTTTCATGTTGATGTCAAGTAGTATATGCACAAAAACCCCCCAACCCTTTGTATCCTTAATGCTCTCTGAGCTCTTTTATTGGAAAGTAGCTTTGAGGTTTCCTTGGTTTAATGAAACACATGGCTTTGACTTCACATCCAAAAATGTGTACACATTGGTTATCGTTGCAGCTTTTAGCAAAATCCAGAGGCCTAGACTGGAAAGCAATGCAAAAGCTCCAGGACGTACAGATCAAACTCAAACGGAGCTTAGAGGAAATGCTGGATGTGGTTGAGGAGGTGCTTCACCCTGAGCCTTACAGCATCGAGGAAATTGGAGAAAAACTGGGAATTAGCCCCAAAGAGCTTCGCAGTGAGATCCTCAGCCAGAACACCCAAGATGGTAAGCAAACACTGAATGGCTACTGGTGGAATAGTTCAGTTTATTAAAACTGGAAGTAGGTTCAGAAGAAGGAGGCATATCTCTTAAACAAAAAGCCTCATGCCACAATGCTAATAGCTCTTATAATAATATAAACTTAATAAACTTTATTTATATCCTGCCACCATCTCCCCCAACAGGGACTCAGGGTGGCTTACATGAGGCCAAGCCCAAACAACATATTAAAGCAAAATAAAACCAAAAACATAAGCAATAAACAACATCATAATTACATAAAACATATGAATACATCTATATAAATAAAAATGTAATGTTCGTTTGTGGGATTTACAGTCTCTGATTGATTTGTTATATTTATTTATTTGAAAGTTTTATATACCGGCCTTCTCACCTCAACGAGGGACTCAGGTCGGTTTACAACATATATGCAAATACAATAATATACAAGTACAACAGAGTGCAACATCATTACAGATTAAAATAGTACAATAAAGTACAGTAAAAACATCATCATCACAATTACCCAAGCCAAGTCGTCAATACAGTCACAGTCATAGTCATAGTCACAGTTCATCATCCTCCTTCCTTGTGGACGAAGGTTATAGATTCAGTCCTCAAATGCCACATTCCAGAGCCAGGTCTTTAGTAGTTTCCTGAAAGTCAGGAGGGAGGGAGCAGATCTAATCTCTAATGGGAGTCCTACAAAGCCAGGGAGCCACCACCGAGAAGGCCCTGTCTCTCGTCCCCACCAAATGTGATTGCGAGGGTGGTGGGACCGAGAGCAGCCCCCCCCTGGAAGATCTTAATAGCCTTGATGGTTCATAGGGGAGAATCCGTTCGGACAGGTAAACTGGGCTGGAGTCGTTTAGGGCTTTATAGGTCAAAACCAGCACTTTGAATTGTGCACAGAAGCTAATCGGCTTCAGTTAGAAACAAGGAATTAGGAAACGGAGGGTAGAAAGAGTACAGGATTCCACGTCACGTCGGAGATATATTGATAGTAAAATAATATAGATAGTCAAATCAGAGATACCTAAATATCTTTACATACTTAGACATAGTTATACAAGTGTTATATAGATAGTAGAATAATATAGATAGTCCAGTAGGAGATAATTAGATAGTTACAGAGTTAGATATAGTATAGAAGTCACAACTGTTGCGCAGCAGCAGATTTTACCCAGCGCCCAAAGTCCAAATGCAACCCCCAGGGGTTGAGAAGGGCAGGGTAAAAGTGTTCAAAATAAATCAATAAATTCATAAATTTACACAGTAGTCAGTGCTCTTTAGTTTTTATCCAGTTTGGGTCCCCAGGTGCTAACTTCTGATCACTTTTGATTACCATCATGCAGACTGGGGATAATGGGAACTGCACTTGTGATTCTGAGGTTCGAGGAAACTTAAAGGCATTTTAAAGCCTGGCATCCTATTCACAAGCTTTGTCTCGAAACCTAAACCCCAGTCTCCGGACTAAACAGGACAAATTGCAGCCTTCCAGATGTGACTGTATCACAACTCCCATCAGTTCTAGTCATGGTGTCTAATGAGGAGGAAGACAGGTTGTACTCCAGTGTTTGGAAGACACAGTCGGCTGAATTTGGCCCGCAGGCCTTGAGTTTGACACTTGTGCTTGAGAAGCTACACCGTCGCATCTGATAGTACTAAGTGTCCTCCCACACTTTGTCTTCTTCTCCTCTTTTCAAATCCAGTGGCCACTTTTAAGTTGTACCAGCGTGCAAACCATGTGTACAGTGAAGCTGCCCGAGTGCTGGAGTTCAAAAAGACCTGTATGGAGGCACCTGATGATGCTGTCTGGTTGTTGGGAGATGCAATGAACAAAAGTCACTCCAGCTGCAGAGACTTGTACGAGTGCAGCTGCCCCGAACTGGACCGGCTGGTGGACGTCTGCCTGTAAGTTTGCAAAGCTGCAGCAAAAGAAATCGGTTTGGGTTGGGTTGCAGACAGGCCTGTAGCGAGGGGGGGGGGGGGGTTGGATTCACACCCCCCCCCCCCGAAATGTTTCAGATTTTTTAAAAAACCTGGTTTACTCATGAATTGTAACTGGTTAACCAAATCCCCATGCTAAGTCTATGAGATAATAATAATAATAATAATAATAAAAATAATAATACTTTATTTATACCCCGCTACCATCTCCCCAGGGGACTTCGGTGCGGCTTACATGAGCCCAAAACAAACATAATAAAGCAATAAAATAAAAACATAATAAAAAACATAGTCAATAAAATATACAACATTATCAATAAGACAACACACAATTAAAAACAGTGGGAAGGCCAAATGTAAAATTAAAATTGGAAGTCATGCTGGGACATGAACGAGAAGGTGATAGTGGTGTTTATGGAAGGGCATACAAGCAGACCTAAAGAAATGTAAAGTGCTTTGGAGGACAAAGTTCTATGGGATCATTATTCCGGGAAGGCACACTGGAACAACCACGTCTTCAAGCTCCTCCTGAAGACTGCCAAGGTTGGGGCCTGTCTGATGTCTTTAGGGAGTGAGTTCCAGAGTCGAGGGGCCACCACCGAAAAGGCCCTCTCTCTCTTGTCCCCACCAATCGCACCTGCGATGCTGGTGGGATTGAGAGCAGGGCCTCTCCAGATGAACGAAGACATTGTGTTGGTTCGTATACAGAGATGCGGTCACGCAGGTAGGCGGGTCCCAAACCGTTCAGGGCTTTGTAGGTAAGAACCTGCACCTTGAATTGGGTCCTGTAGATGAATGGCAGCCAGTGGAGCTCCTTGAACAGGAGGGTTGACTCGCTCCCTGTAAGGATCCCCAGTTAACAACCTGCCGCCCGTTGGATCATCTGAATTTTCCGGCCATTTTCAAGGACAGCCCCATGTAGAGTGCATTGCAGTAATCCAGTCTAGAGGTGACTAAGGCGTGGACCACCTTGGCCAGATCTGCCTTCCCGAGGTACGGTCGCAGTTGGCAAAAAATTAAGAGTCCCTCCAGAACTGCAAGCACTATCTCAGGCAAATATTTTTAATAGTGTCTTGTAGTTATTGTTGTTATTTTGCTTAACTGTTTGATTTGCTTGTTTATTATTGTGTTATGCTTTTATTGTATTGTGTTGAGGCTTCGGCCTGTGTAAGCCGCATCGAGTCCTGCGGGAGATGCTAGCGGGGTACAAATAAAGTTAATAATAATAATAATAATAATAATAATATTGACAATTTATTCACACTGTCATTACTTGCAGCAACAGTAGATGTAGCGAAGCAACCAAGTTGGGGGGGTGTGTTGAATGCTCTCATTAAGGAGGCCAGACTTGGTGGAGGTGGTTGACAGGGGCGGAGCTGCAGGCTATGGAAGGCTGCTCTGCCCCCTGCTGTGCTCTTTGCTTCAGCGTGAGCTAGGAGGCAGGTTTCAACCCCCCTGTGAAATTTTCAACCCCCTCCCCCCAAAATTTCAACCCCTCCCAAATTTTTTTTCTGGCTACGGCCCTGGTTGCAGAGGGGTTGTAAAGCCTTCCATTCTGTTAGTCTTCAAAATGGGGGGAAATGTGATCTTATTTCCAGTGAAGATTGCATCATTTCTTAATGGGAATACAGAATTCAGTAGAACTGCGAGGGATGTGATTGCCCCAGAAATTTCAACAGAAAAGGAGGAAACCATCAAAATGAACAAAATCTGACTACCAGTAATTTAAAAAAACTCTAAAATCAGGACAGTAAATAAAGAACAATACTAAAAAAAACAGGGGAATTCCAGACATGAATCAATTAGGGCCAGCTAATACAGGGTGAGGCAACATAACTTCCTTTTTTCAAAACTTAATAAAACCCATTGTATGAATCAGATTTTTTTAAAAAAAATTATAATGTAGGCGCATACCTAAAGTTTTGTTTTACGTAGTTTTGAAGATCAAATTAGGTAGGTGACGTCCCCCATTCTCCATACACTGAGTAAACCGATTTCTGGCGTTTGTCATGACTCTTGCCAGCATAGCAGGCGTTATGTTGGCAATTTCTTCCTGGATGTTGGTCTTCAAATCTTGTAGGGTCCTTGGACGGTTCACATAAACAGGATTTCAAAAAACCTCATAGAAAAAAATCACAAGGGGCCAAATCTGGCCCACATCTATGGCAGGCACTCCAAATCCGCTCGAAAAGTAGGCCTCAACAGCAAAAGCACGCTCCTCACTGTTCCAATGTATGACGGCGACTGAACTGTGGCATGACAAAACTTTATACTCCCGCCTCTCGAACAAGACCACTAACGCTCCGCTATGTCTTCAACCGACTGAATGGCGTGCATTTTAAAAAAAGGAAGTTATGCTGCCTCACCCTGTACCTCCCAACAAGGGCAGGAAGCAGCTAGGATTTGAAGCTGCAAGGCCATTCAATGTTAATCAAGGTGGCCAATTGCAACATTCACACTTGCCTCACGCAGACAAGAGTTCTTTCTCCCACCCTGGTCATTCTACAGATGTATAAATGCCACTTATAGAATCATAGAATCAAAGAGTTGGAAGAGACCTCATGGGCCATCCAGTCCAACCCCCTGCCAAGAAGCAGGAATATTGCATTCAAAGCACCCCCGACAGATGGCCATCCAGTCTCTGTTTAAAAGTTTCCAAAGAAGGAGCCTCCACCACACTCCGGGGCAGAGTTCCACTGCTGAACGGCTCTCACAGAGGAAGTTCTTCTTGTCTAGTTTCCAACACACCTCATAACCTCTTAGGATTCCTGCCATAGATGTGGGCAAAATGTCAGGAGAGAATGCTTCTGGAATATGGCCATACAACCCGGAAAACACAGCAGCCCCTGAAATTCTTTGCCATCCTCCAAATAGATTCTGGATACTAGGAAAGAGATACTAGAGATCGATTTGCTGACCTTTTCCATCCAAAACTGGAATTGGTGGTCCTTTCAGAAATAAAGTACCTGATTAGTAAATTATATTTGGCTTGTTCAGCAGAGAAGAGAAGAAAAGGCTGAGAGGAGACATGATGAGGGCCATGTATAAATATGTGAGGGGAAGTCATAGGGAGGAGGGAGCAAGCTTCCTTTCTGCTGCCCTGGAGACTAGGATGGAGAACAGTGGCTTCAAACTACAAGATAGGAGATTCCACCTGAACATTAGGAGGAACTTCCTGACTGTGAGAGCTGTTCAGCAGTGGAACTCTCTGCCCCGGAGTGTGGTGGAGGCTCCTTCTTTGGAGGCTTAAAGTAGATACTGGGTGGCCATCTGTCGGGTGTGCTTTGAATGTGATTTTCCTGCTTCTTAGCAGAATGGGGTTGAACTGGATGGTCCACGAGGTCTCTTCAAACTCAAGGAATCCATGATTGCATGAAATGTGAAGCTGCTCTTTGCATTGCTTTGGGAGCTAGATCAAAAGCCATTCAGGTTTGGGTCAAACCTCCTCTTTTTCTCCATTACCAATCCCAAAATTTAAGTTTTTGATATACCCAATATCCTCTGGCAGGCATGTTGCAAGCAACTTTGATTTGTGGCTTCAAAGCTGTTCCCTTGTTCTGGTTCTTCTAGGCAATCTGGAGCAGTTGGATCGCGCCTCACTGGGGCAGGATGGGGTGGCTGCACCGTGTCAATGGTTCCTGTGGACAAACTGGAGACATTCCTCACAAACGTGAAAGAGGCTTACTATACCAAGAGGAGGCCGGGATTAGTCATGGAGGAAAGCACCTTGTTTGCCACCAACCCTGGTGGTGGAGCTATGGTTTTTCTTGAGGCCTAAAGGATGACTAACCCAAAAAATAGTTGGGGACGCTGTGAAGTTGACAGAGCCCTGGCAATACTGTTTTTGAAAAACTGTTTTAACCTGTTTATACCAATCACTGTGATAATCCTTTTTTTAAAAAAAAATTAAGAACATTACTTATTTAGGCAATCCCTCGTAGCCCGAGGATGATGGTCCTCCAAGTGATACCAATTCTATGGCGGTTCGTGGCTTCATTGACAGCTGGACTGGCTCTGTTGAGATATCCCTCTGCACCGACTCTTCTGGAGTCACAGGGGTAGAGTGGACAGCAACCGACACATTTATATCCCACTGGTGACCTTCTGCAGTTGGGTGTTTTGCTATGATAGTCACCTCCGATTTCTTTGGTGGAAGACTCTTTGAGGTGCTTTTAACTTGTCCTGAAGCAGAAAGTACTATGAGGGATATGGCTATACTGGAAGTGAGTGGTTCTATTGGTGGTTGGGCTGGCATTGTTGGAGTATTTACAAGTGCGTTCAATTTATTTTCTGCGGTGGATCCGTAGGTGTCTGTGGAGCCCTATTCTTGACCACATTTTCTCCCGCAGTGAGGACAACGGTTTCCAGGTGGAAGGTGGTCCCGGTCAGGGTTGGCTTGACACACCTTCCTCTTGGCACATTTCTCCCTTTCACCCTCCATTCGTGCCTCTTCAAATTCTACAGCACTGCTGGTCACAGCTGACCTCCAGTGAGTTGCCATGACGCACCTTCCTCTTGGCGCATTTCTCCCTCAACCAATTATCCTGCTATACAAGTAAACGATGGCTATGCTGGTATGGCTGTACCAGGAGCTCCAACTTTATTTTCTTTCTGTTATCTGTTTTGCAGTCATAGGACAGGCCTCCTGTCCATCATAATTAAGCTTTGGTTCCGCCCCTTGTTCAGGGCTCTGGGAGGGAAAGGAGCCATTTTTGGGGCAGTCTCACACAAGGTAGCTAAGCTATAGGACGTAGACCAGCTCGTCCCGTAGAAAAGCTTCCTTTCTCAATAACCATCCAGGGAAAAAGAGGCATCCAGAGAAAAATAACATCCGGGAATAGAGAAGCAGAAATTCCAGGAGAAAGGTCCCAAAAGCTCTGGCTGAGAGCTCACAGCCTCACAGCATCAGAGGGAACAGCCCTGAAGTTTCTAAGAATTCTCGAAGGGAGAACAGCACTACAGATCCATGGAACTCCAGCTGAAATATCTTCAAGCCTCGGCTGGTAGGTCTACTCGATACTCAGACGCATTTGGAGTCGGTAGTAGGTCTCACACCGATGAGGCATAGATAGAAAGCAGCCTGAGAGAGGTTAAAAAGGGTTTTTCCTACAGAGAAAGTTTAGTTAATCAGTCAGGTGCCAGTCCATTGAGGACTAGACTAAGAAAGCCTTGAAGTGTTGTTTGAACAATTGAAGATTTGTTGTTTGTTCCATAATAAAGACTTTGTTGCATAGTTAAAGACTCTAAAGGCCATCACTTCAGAAAAATCTCTGAGAACCTCTCTTTGAGACGTCCCTGGCTTCCTGCTGGGCTTAAAGTATACATCCTATAGAAAAGTACAGCTGTTACAGGCCCAGCGCACAACAGAACAATGGCCTTACTGGGAAAATAAGATTAACTCGAGGAACAAGACAGGGATGCCCCCTTTCACCTACCCTATTCGCAATAGTTATAAAAATGTTAGCAAATATGATACGAGATGATAATACTACTACTAATAATAATAATAATAATAAACTTTATTTATACCACCATCTCCCCAATGGGGACTCGGAGCGGCTTACATGAGGCCAAGCCCAAACAACAACATACAATAAAATACGACCACAACGCAAACAAATCACAACATCATAATTACATAAAACATGTGAATAAATAACAATATAACATTACAATAACACAATAAATATAAATATAAAGGGGATAGGGAAGGAGGGAACATACAAAATATGTTTATTTGCAGATGATATACTACTGACCTTCAGAAAGCCATTAGAACAGATAAAAAGAATAGAGGCACATCTAACAGAGTTTGGGGAAATTACAGGCCTTAAAGTTAATTGGAATAAATCGGAAATCTTATTATTTAACCACGTTAAAGATGAGGAAGAGAAATTAAGAAAACGGAGATTGGGCAGAATAAAAATAAAGAACTCAGTAAAATATTTAGGAATTAATATATCTAAAGAAATTGCGAATCTAGAAGGGGAGAACTTAATCAAAATGAATTTAACAGATTAGGGAGATGGGCCAAAGCTAACAAAATGAAGTTCAACAGTGAGAAATGCAAGATTCTCCACTTAGGCTGAAAAAATGAAATGCAAAGATACAGAAAGGGGAACATTTGACTCGACAGCAGTACATTTGAAAAAGATCTTGGAGTCCTTGTGGGGAACGAATTAAACACGAGACAACAATGTGATGTGGCAGCTAAAAAAGTCAATGGGATTTTGGCCTGCATCAATAGGAGTCTAGTGTCTAGATCCGGGGAAGTCATGCTGCCCCTCTATTCTGCCTTGTTCAGACCATATCTGGAATCACACTGTGTCCAATTTTGGGCACTGCAGTTTAAGGGAAATGTTGACAAGCTGGAATGTGTCCAGAGGAGGGCGACTAAAATGATCAGGGGTCTGGAGAACAAGCCCTATGAGGAGCGGCTTAAGGAGCTGGGCATGTTTAGCCTGCAGAAGAGAAGGCAGAGAGGAGACATGATGAAGGGCATGAATAAAGATGTGAGGGGAAGTCATAGGGAGGAGGGAGCAAGCTGTTTTCTGCTTCCTTGGAGACTAGGACGCGAAACAATGGCTTCAAACTACAAGAAAGGAGATTCCATCTGAACATGAGGAAGAACTTCCTGACTGTGAGAGCCGTTCAGCAGTGGAACTCTATGCCTCGGAGTGTGGTGGAGGCTCCTTCTTTGGAAGCTTTTAAACAGAGGCTGGATGGCCATCTGTCAGGGGTGCTTTGAATGCAATATTCCTGCTTCTTGGCAGAATGGGGTTGGCCTGGATGGCCCACGAGGTCTCTTCCAACTCTAGGATTCTACGATACAGGACTTACAAAGCTGGAACAAATTACAACTATGATTACTTGTAGCCCAAGTTACTTCAATACACTTCTCTATTTTGACTTGGATTACATTTTAGGCCAACTGATTTTTAATCCATATTGGTAAAGTAAGGCAGATGTGCAAGATAATATTTTGATGAAAGTATGGTGTGTTTTTGGATACAAGTTCTTTGCTCCTTTGCCAGAAGGAGGCAGCAACAGGCCGTTTTTATGTTTTAAAGCACCAAAGCAATCAATAAAAGATTTCATGCTTTCCTCATATTCTTGAATTTTCCAGGTATTTTTGTACAAATTCTAATAGCATTCAAATTAACCAAACAAAACCATGGCACAACAACTGCTTATGTGGGTTCAAATGAATTGAGCTAAGTGCATTTAGTAGGATTCCTTATTTTAAGTTGAAGGTTTTAAGATGCAGCCTTCTATGTCAGGTTTCTCTCTCTCTGGAGAGTCCTAAAGCTCCTGCATTATCCAACATGTCTTAAAATAAGGAATCCTGTTGTGATGGCACGCCCGAGCCTTTGGGAAAACTATATCGTCTGGCTTTACTCGGGGGCTAGCTGATACCTTCCGTTAAGATTAAGATCCTTAGCATACAGAGGCACTTTAGGCAAGGTGAAAAGATAACCAAATGTGTTTACTGAAAACAGGACGAATAAAGGGCTAACTCTACCCGGGACTATCTTAAGAAACTTAAAGCAATACATTACAAAAGAAGATTTTGCTGGTTGTAGTCATCTCTCTGGAATCTTCTGCCTCTGAGACAAAGCGATGGATTACAAGTTATTGCTTATGAACTGTCTTAATCTTCTTTCCTGTGAAGCTTAGGCTGGCCAAAAGTTTCTGTTGTATTTTGGACTGTTGGTATAATAATACTGCTAAATGCAGCAGGTGCTAAGAATACCTGTTTGGATTGCTTGGCCAAGGATTACCAGAAAAAAAAAAACATGAATGAATTCCTATGTACACTGCACATATCTTATTTGTAGTGCAAAAAACAATACAATAAATAAAATGAAGAACGATTTTAACAAATATAAACTTATTAGAATTTCAATGGGAAGTGTGGGCCTGCTTTTGGCTGATAAGGTAGGATTGTTGTTGTGTGCTTTTAAGTAATTTCAGACTTAGGGTGACCCTGAGCGAGGGCCGGGTAAATGACCTGGAGAGCCATCCAGCCATAGATATAGGTAGATATATATGATTCACACACGCACACACACACATATATGACAGATATAGGGTAAAGGTAAAGGTTTTCCCCTGACATTAACTCCAGTCGTGTCCAACTCTGGAGGTTGGTGCCCATTTCCATTTCTAGGCCAAAGAGCCAGCATTGTCTATTGACACCTCCTAGGTCATGTGGCCAGCATGACTGCTTCCCTCAGAAGCAGTACCTATTGATCTACTCACATTTGCACGACAGGTATAATATCATAGATTTGAAAGGGACCCTGAAAGAAGGACAATGATATGTTGCATGTTCCAGAGTAGGCAAACCAGACAATCTCCACATCAACACTAGCTAAGAAATAACAAGAAATACTGTTTATCTACAAACATAAACAAATTAGGTATATTAGAAACCAACACTTTCTCATTACTTTATTTTCCAGCTCACCAGGCTGGGCCACAGCAACACGTGGCAGGAGATGGCTAGTAGGCAGGGGCAGCTCAACCCATTACGCAAAGTAAGCATTTGCAGTATAGTTGATTTTGCCCAGGGGCGCTCTTGAGGCGCTCTTGGGGGAAAATAGACCTTGACATATGCGAGTTGTAATTACTGGGATGTATAATTCACCTAAAATCAAAGAGCATTCTGAACTCCATCAATGATGGAATTGAACCAAATATGGCACACAGAACTCCCACAATGAACAGAAAATATATATCAGTGATTGGTTTGGGGGGGAGGGGGAGGCGCCAAAATACTGTTTGCTTCCCATTGAAAATTACCTAGGGCTGCCTCTGCTAGTAGGCATATAAAAACAATACAATATTTGGGTTGCTGTGAGCTTTTTGGGCTGCATGGACGTGTTCCAGTAGCATTCTCTCCTAACGTTTCGCCTGCACAGATGCAAAACACATTGATATTAACCTTTAATTGTGTTGCTGTGAGTTTTCCAGGATGTATGGCCATGTTCCAGAAGCATTCTCTCCTGATGTTTCATCCATATCTTTCTAGCAAAGATGTGGGTGAAACGTCAGGAGAGAATGCTTCCGGAACATGGCCATACAGCCTGGAAAACTCCCAGCAACCCAGTGATTCCGGCCACGAAAGCCTTCGATAGCCTTAAATTGTTTTTACTCATTGAAATAAAGCCCCTGCTCTGTTTCAGATGTGATGGGCAGAAATGTTAATCATTTCCGTGGCAGCTGTATTGGAACTGTTTAACCGAATGACTCTTCTTTCCTAAGAATTAAGGATCTGTTTTTTTCAGCCTTCTGTCGAGCAAGTGGTCATGATGGCTTCCAAAAATGTGAGACCAGGAATTCAAATGATTTCTCCTCCAAGCCTGCTTTCAGCTCACCACAGTCGAAAATGTTAGAAAGAAGATGGAGATGGAGTTTTCCGTATGGAAAAAGCGTGGCTTCATTGGCCACTAGTATCGCGAAAACATGGGAGGTGAAAGACAGCTCCCTTTCCCGATCCCCGGCGCTCCACCCCCTCTCTTTTCCCCTATCCGCGGGTGGGCCAAGGGGTGGAGCCTCCGCGTCTGGCCCGCTTTAGGTCCAGAGGCGTGTCTGAAGACCCCAACGTGCGCACCAAAAGTCGCCTCTTCTCCTGACTTTCTCTTCAGCCAGTGGGACCAAGAGAGAGAGAGAGAGAGAGAGAGCCCCTCCGGCTGGAGGTATCTCCCACCTCCGCTCCCTCCTTTGTTTTTGCGCCTACCTTCAGGAAAGGTGGGCATCTCCACTTCTCTCTCTCTCTCTCTCTCTCTCTCTCTCGGTCCCAATGGCTGAGGAGAAAGTCAGGAGAAGAGGTGACTTTTGGTGCACACGCCGGGGTCTTCAGGCACGCCTCCGGACCCAAAGCGGGCCAGGCAAGGGAGCAAGTGCGGCAAGTGTAGTTACTGGGATGTATAGTTCACCTACAATCAAAGAGCATTCTGAACTCCACCAATGATGGAATTGAACCAAATATGGCACACAGAACTCCCACAACGAACAGAAAATATATATCAATGATTGGTTGGGGGGGGGGCACCAAAATACTGTTTGCTTACCGTTGAAAATTACCTAGGGCCGCCTCTGCGCCTTGCTTTGTAGACCTGAATACCCTAAAGGCACCAGAACACACTCTTTGGATCTTGGAAGCTAAGCAGGGCTGGCTTTGGTTAGTACTTGGATGGGAAGACCGCCAACAAATTCCAGGTACAGTGGGCTCTT